TTATCTAACTGTACATTTCTTGCTTTAGCAGACATAATTAAGGGCTGCCACTCACCACAGTTAATTTTTTCTTGGTCAGTAATGGGTCCTTCCCCAAACAGTCTCATGCCGTCAGAGTTTGTACAGTAACACCTGCCATACAGAGGCTAACGTTAACGACACACGAAAAAAATTAACAATAAGTAAAAGATAAATTATACCCAATGCCAGTGTCTAAAATTGTTGTCTACAGTTGAATTCTGGGTAATATTTATAACTTACTATCACAACATTCTCTGACAGTTGACAACATTCACTGGCAGTTATACCAAGAGATCATATTTTATCAGAAGGGAGTTATTGCAAACAATCATACAATATTTTAACCAATAGAATTGCTGTCACCAAACTGATTGAGGTGCCCTTACGTGCTGGCGGGCGTGCACTGCTTGGGGGCGTATCTACCATACTCATCACAGTTGGGTTTATAGCGACCGGGGCCCAACGTTCCTGCTGCCTTGTCTGCCTCATATTCTAGCCTCTCATTAATACATGGCCTTGCTGGGTCTGTGGAGGAAAACTTCACTGAATATCTCATTCCTTACCATTTATTCAACAAATTATTATGAACTAGTAGAGTATCCACGCTAGGAAGGAGTGATATAGCAAGTGAGACTTTAATGTCTTTATAAGAAATAAGGAATGTGCTGTCATGAAAGGTAAAAACTTTCAAGTTTTATTACCTCTAAGAGTGTGAAGTTGACACCATCACTTGACAAATTAATGCCTTATAATACATGAACTAGATGATGGAGTAAAGTTGATGGTTAATAAGATATAGTACTGTACTGGAGTTAACAGGACAAATGAAAAAAAATCTAAGGAAATCATTACTGTAATAGGATTAGTAAATTCAAGGTTTTCATGATGAGTTTAACCTTTGTTTCAGGTGAACATAGACACACCAATATAGGGTAATGTGAAACAAAATCTTGAGGTGCTACAAACTGTTTATTGTTTTTAGTTTCATATGAAAAGATAGCCTCATTGGTAAATCATTCTTTGTCATCCCCAATTGATTTAATAAGTAATTAAAGTATATCAGTGGCCTAAGAGATGAATATTAATAGAAGAAGAACTAACAAGTACCCTGTACTAACTTCTGATGCAATGAGCATCATCAGGCTTGGTGAGGTCGTCGGGGATACACTCCAGGCCTGGCCCACACAACTCACGAGGATATTGTACTGGGGATGATACAACACAGCTGTCTCCCTCTTCTGTTACATAGAAATGTGGAAATGTTACTAATTGATAAATCTAAGAAATAACGATAGCAGTTTTATAAGAAATTTTACATTATTGAGATTGTTTGAGGTCTTATTCAACATAGGTGAATGCCAAATGTTTAGTAAGGAAAACAGTTTGCTGCAACCAGGAAATAGCTGGTGAGACACACCACAGGGATATAAAGCTACAATTATGATAAGGGTTTAAACCCTCAAGTCTATCACTGATGGTTCCAGATGAACAATCACTCACTCATCCTCTAGCAGGGCTGAATTAGAGGTAAAATTTTAAAAAGTACATTGGTCTACTCCTGCCTGGGAGTGTAATTATGATTGAACCATAAGTGGGTTGAGAGAATGACTGGATGAATGGCTACTGAAGTTACTCATGTTAGAGCTTTAAATGTGGATCACAATAGTGTTTGAGTTGTTCAATGATCCGATTGATTATGTATGCAGAAAGTTTGCTTTGTATAACTTAATAATTGCTTAACCATGATTTTTTTCATTTTTGTATTTACTGAATGCTTGTACAGATGGACTGTACTTACAGTGGCTTCCAAAATAATGAAATAAAATAAGGATGTTTTGGAATGGTTAATGAACTGCACCTATAGCAAGCTGAAAGGATACAGATTCTGTAGCACTAGATTCTTGTGAAATTCTAAAACACCAAAACACCATCTCTCCAGTTGCTTTTACTAGACCAATGAATGGTTTGGTAATAAGTCTGCATGCTGTATTGCATGAACTTTGGTGATCATCTTCAATATTCATGTAATAAGATAAATTAAAGTATGATATTTCACAGCCAGTACAAGAGACTGTTTGTTATTCACAACACAGTCTACCTTTGGGATGAATCAAGTGTTGATACTGGACACTCATCATTAAATATTTGCATCATTTTCCTGGACTAGTAGTGGGTATGTTGGTTGAACTTACAGCTATGTTATCCATACTGTTATGCTGTTTGTTATAAAAGAAACACAAACATTGAAGAAACCAAACTCCATCTTACTCAGATTATCAATGCACTTGGTGCCACAGTTGCAGATGACAGGGTTGAGAAACTCTTCCTGATCGTTGCCACAGGATGTTTTGTTGTTCTCCTGATTCACCGCCACACACGCACACACACAAGACAAGAGAAGAATAAATTAGTCAGGAACAATGGAAATGTGTAACTGTTTCTACAGTACGTATATTCAAATTCATTTTACATACTATTAATCTTTTTAATCTACAGTTCTGATACTTTCTTATTTATATCTTCCTAATTATTACAATGGGTAGCCCCAATGCCTGGGCATCTCGAGGTTTAAGGTTTCACTGACAGAACCCATACACCAGGGTATCCCTGTGTCAGGGCTTTGGCAATGAATTGGGGAACCCTGGGAGTCAGACTGTCAAAGGAGTGGCACAATATATAATTTGCTCTTACGATTTGATTTTGATTGAAACATATTAAAGAGACTTTGTACTCACATCAGGATAACCATTATACTCGCAAATGGCATCAATGTCATCACAGAGAATACTCTTCCTGATGTATTCGCCAGCACAAAGTCCCAGCATCATCAGCACCACCACCCTCCTCACTGCCCCTACCATATCTACTGAAAAAATATAATACACTAAACATTAATTAATTCCACTTTGTTATCTTCTCTTTTTCATGTTTTTTCCTTGTGGTTTCTTGTTCTTTGAATTTCATCTCTTATGTTTCTTTCCTTTAGTATTACTTATTACTATTAATGTACTGCTACTGTACTACTACTACTTTACTGTATTGTACTGTACTGTACTCTTAACCGGAACTCTATGATGGCCGGAATTGAAATTTTCTCGGAAAAACGTTCCCAAAGTCGGAATTATCCAGAAAATTCCGGCTTAGGGAATGATTTTCCGAGAAAATTTTAATTCCGACTATCAGAGAGTTCCGGTAAAGATTACAGTAAAGTACAGCACAGTGCAGTACAGTACAGTACAGCTGGACAATTCCGGCTTTGGAAACGATTTTCTGAAGGGCACATTTTCTGGAAAATTATGAGAAAATTTTGCCAGTACCCAGAAAATTCCGGGGATGTGGGATATATTTCTGGGTTCAAGAGATGATGTAATGTGCAATTTCTGGAACTTCCGAGAACATTTTTCCGTTACCCAGAAAATTTCAGGGATGAGGGATTTTTTCCGGCTTTGAGAGAGTCGCATCGTTATCCGGAAATCTCTCATTCCTGGAAGTGCTCTGCACCAATTGTTCTAGCTAACAGTGATATCACTTACTACTACAGTAAGTCCTCGTTTAACGTTGGCCTGCTTCACGTTGTTTCGGTACTACCTGTACGTCGCTAATCTTTAGATACCAAAAATTTGTTTAACGTCCATATGACTGAGTACAACGTTGTTTTGCATCGTCACAGACTACTTTTTATGGCTCAATGCCCTCTCTCGTCTGACTGCGCTACGCCCTCTCGGCTCGGCAGAGTCTCAGTGACTCACCACCCTCCTCCTCTCCCGCCCTCCTCCACTCCCGCCATACTCCTCCCCTCCCGCCACCCGCCGCTTCACTACCCAACATACACTCGCTCTACCACCTCCGCCCATCGGTGAGTACCAATACAAACTTAGTAGCTGTATATTTATGCACCATTTTCTTCACCCGTCACCCACCACAGCCGGCCCAAGTCAGTGATAGTGATAATTATAGTGAGGATATGGACTTATATGGACTTTGAGGGGTTTGACAAAGAGGCCCTGCAAGCCTCTGTGGTGGATAGTGATACAATTGATACAAGTGATACAGGTGAGGGCCAATAATCTGCCCTCTGCCTCGGAACCAACCCCCCATCCCCGTGTGCCCAGCCATCTTTTCTACTAATGTAAGTGTTAAAAAGCCAAATATTATTGATATTTCTCTTAATTATTAATTGTGTGTGCATACCATCATAAAGTTAAGATAATATTTTTACTACAACATAGTTGTGTGTCGTCAAAAAGTGGAGTGTGGGGGTCGGCCCAGTCTCTATTTCAATTAATCCCATATGTTATGTTGTTCACTTTACGCATTTCTCACTTTCCGCGGTACCCTGTGGGTTAAATTAACCGCGTAAAGTGAGGGTTGACTGTATTTATATTCCTCGTCAATGAATTCCGGGCTGCAAATTCTCAAAGCACGTAAAAGCATTGTTGAAAATACTGACTGTTTGACTCTATTATGGTGGGCAGAATAGTAATGAATGTATGAGCACACATTAGTAGGTTTTCTATAAATACTGAACTTAAAGGTGTTACCTATTCTGTGTATCAGACAGTCTAGGAATGGCAATTTACAGTCATGCTCTAATTCTACAGTGAATTTGATCGAGGGGGCTAAGTTATTAAGTTGTGGCAGGAAAGCTTTTAGGTCCTCATTACTTGGCCAGAGACATAATACATCTACATATCTAAACCAGACTGCTGAAGGTGTTTTCTTCTTTCCTTGTGGTTATCAGCATATATATATATATATATATATATATATATATATATATATATATATAAATCTTGATAAAATTTAGATTACATGGACAGAGAAAATATAATATAAATAAATAAATATATATATATATTATTTTTTTTTTATTATTATTATAATATATATATATATATATATATATATATATATATATATATATATATATATATATATATATTAGGTTTTAAAATTGTTCATTTTACTATAGATATGTCTGTAAAATTTTATCTATATTCTGGCTAACATTTAGAGTGTCAATCCTATTTTGTATATTATATCAGAAAGTGTAGACTTAATTTTGTCCAGACAGATAGTCTAATATACACAACACATTATATTGGGTATATTTCAATGTTACAGCCTAGCTTGCTTATTTGGAAAGGGCAAGAGTCAAGTATTGGAGTCATAGGACTGACAATGACAGGTTGTTGAAACACAGACAAGGCTATTAATCAGATGGTTTATTTCATTTATATCTCATCAGTTCTACAATTATTTCATTATTTATTCCAAAGTTTAGTAGACATATGCAGGTTTCTATCTTGTGTCATGGAGACAGGAATGGCGAGGCAATTATTACCTGTGAGAAATAGTCTTTATTCCATCTTCTTGCCTGGGAGCACCTTGTTGCCGTAGAAAAAACTGATATTATCAAGTCACCAGTAGTCATTCAGTCATGACCGCATCAATTTATCAGACAGAAATGCTGTGTCGGTAGCTGGGGCTGTAGCATGCTCTGGATATGAGATATTGCAGATATGTCGTTTCAGGAGTACGACCATGTACAGAGCAAGGAGTGTAAGTAAGCAGCTGAAACAGACCGAAAATCATTTGATGAACCTCTTTCCTACATGGGATTCCAAGGAAATCTTCTGAATTTTATAGAACATAAACTGCTAGTTTACTGCCATTGTGGTGACATTTAATGACAAGAGAAGCTGCCAGAGTACCAAAAAGAGAGAGAACTGATAGCTACAGGTCAAGCATGTTTAAAGCACCAACCATGGAATGCCAGAAATTGGTTAGTTGATCTTAGGTTTTGATAATTTTCCTGCTTCCAATACAGATTATATCGTGGAGCATGTGTCCCATTGAAGATGAAACTGGAACAGGAACTTGTTTGATAGCATGCAGACACTATGCTAGAAATTATGCTAATGTATAGTCTTCTAGTTTGATCTAGGTCAAATCAGTCCTGAGACTATTCTATTTTGCTGCCCAAAGAGGAAGTCTATTTCGCTCACGACTTATTCCAGCACCAGCATGTTTGGTGAACCTAATGCTTCAAATTCTATGAGGCTAGTTTAATATTTGCCAGTAGTTCCCCAAGTATGATAATCAGCCACTAGATACTTTATAGAGTTTCTTAGAACTAGCTTCCTTTTGTTTCTTGTGACTGCTGCTAGTAAGGTTTTCGGTCTTTGGTCCCATACACTCCATGCAAGATGAAGGTGCTGAATCTATGCTCTTCAAAATCTATCTATCTGCCAAACATCAACGTTACATTATCAACATCGGAAGAAACAATATCAATAATAACCAATATTAGGATCATAATAAGTGAGATTCTGGCATGAAGCACCAATGGCTGTTCGAGCTCCATTCAATGATTTGCAGCTAATGAAGGCTTTTAAAGGAATATCTCATGGAGAAAGTTGCAATACTTAGCACAAGCAGTAATTAGTCAGACATCTCTGGTGGCTCATCAGAACATCTTATCATTCTGTTTATTTGATGACAGACTGACATTGAAAATCCAAGAAGAATATAAGAAACTCCAGTTTCAAAATAAAGGAGACTTTTCTGCCATGAGTTGTCCTAATTGATGAACCTTGGTCAGTACGTGGCTCTATTTGCCATTGAGCTGCATATTGATATTTTTTACGTTCTAGACTAGATGGCAAAAGAAAGAGCACAAACGTTTTATAAGGATCCTAAAATATGGAAAGACGTATGTTTATCACAAATATATCGCGATAAATATGAAGGTAGAATGACAGTTTAGAGAGGGCATAATTGCTTTCCCATAGAGCCGCGACAATGAGTCTATAACGAAATGAGGACCAAAAAGCAGCACCTTTTATAGTTGTTGCAGCTCATCATGCTGTTAGGTTACCAACCCGCAAGCAGCAAGCTACAGATGGAAGGGATACAATAAATAATGTACAGGTTCTAGAGTTATTTAGTTTGTAATTTGTAAACTTATAATTGTATTTTGCTGGTCAAAGACAATGTGTTTATGTGTTTGATCTGTTCCCAAAATCCTTATATTACTACACAAATGGAAAAAAGAGTATTACTGGATTTCTCGACCCCAAAATATGCTTTAAAATGATCCAATTTTTTTCTCTTGGGATGCATTTTTGTACCCATGGACAAAAATAAACCTTGTGAGATAATATATATATATATATATATATATATATATATATATATATATATATATATATATATATATATATATATATATATATATATATATATATATATATATATATATATATATGTATGTATATGTATGTATGTATGTATGTATGTATGTATGTATGTATGTATGTATGTATGTATGTATGTATATATATATATATATATATATATATATATATATATATATATATATATATATATATATATATATATATATATATATATATATATATATATATATATATATATAAATAACAAATACTCCAGTACTGTAAGTATATTACTCAGTAACCCCTCACTCACAGCTGGGCCAGAGTTGAAGTATCTAACTTCTAATATGCAGACATAAGTGTTGCAACAAATTTGCTGTCTTCCACACCCCTACAGTAGTCATGGCAGTTCAACATTGGTCATAGATAGGAACTCACCATTTTTCATCATGGGAGCTCAAAACTACTGCTTCTTTTAAGTAGCTCTATACGGTATATACAGTGAACCTTGTAAAGCAGTATTGTATCACCATAAAGAACAAACACTCAGCTGTGGAAAATCCCTGCCACTGAAGTGTTCTAAAACACTTCATGACTATCACAACAAAGTGAATAGTCATCACAGGGACAACATAACATTCTGAATATAACTGAAACATACTACAGTACTGTACGATTTCCTACACCTCTCACATCATTGATTTCCTACACATCTCACATCGGTCATTTCCTACACACCTCACATCAATCATTTCCTACACATCTCACATTAGTCATTTCATACACACCTCACATCGGTCATTTCCTACACACCTCGCATCGGTCATTTCCTACACACCTCCCATCGGTCATTTCCTACACACCTCACATCGGTCATTTCCTACACACCTCGCATCGGTCATTTCCTACACACCTCACATCGGTCATTTCCTACACACCTCACATCAGTCATTTCCTACACATCTCACATTAGTCATTTCCTACACACCTCACATCGGTCATTTCCACACACCCTCACACGGTCATTTCCCTTGCCACACACTCACATCGGTCATTTCCTACACACCTCACATCGGTCATTTCCTACACACCACATCGGCCTTCCTACACACCTCACATCGGTCATTTCCTTACACACCAGACGGTCATTTCCCTACACACCTCACATCGGGTCATTTCCCCACACACCTCACATCGGTCATTTCCTGCTGAACACCTCACATCGGTCATTTCTACACACTCACATCGTCATTTCCTTACACACCACATCGTCATTTCTCTACACACACATCGGTCATTTCCTACACACCTCACATCGGTCATTTCCCACACCTCACATCGGGTTATTTCCTACATACACCTCATATCGGTCATTTTGCACACCTCATATCAGTCATTTTACACACTCGTGATCGGGTCATTTCCTACACACTACATCGGTCATTTTACACACTCGTGATCGGGTCATTTCACACACCTCGTGATCGGGTCATTTCACACACCTCACATCGGTCATTTCCTACACACCTCAGATCGGTCATTTCCTTACATACCTCGACGGGTCATTTCTACACACCTCGCGATCGTCATTTTCCTACACACCTCGTGATCGGGTCATTTCCTACACACCCGTGATCGGGTCATTTCCACACACTCACATCGGTCATTCTCACATCTCACATTAGTCGCTTCTCACACCGTGATCGGTCATTTCCTTACACACCTCACATCAATCATTTCCCTACACATCTCACATTAGTCATTTCTACACACCCCACATCGGGTCATTTCCTACACACTCACACCAGTCATTTTGCCACATCTCACATTAGTCATTTCCTACACACCTCACATCGGTCATTTCCTACACACCTCACATCAGTCATTTCCTACACATCTCACATTAGTCATTTCCTACACACCTCACATCGGTCATTTCCTACACATCTCACATTAGTCATTTCCTACACACCTCACATCAGTCATTTCCTACACATCTCACATTAGTCATTTCCTACACACCTCACATCGGTCATTTCCTACACACCTCACATCGGTCATTTCCTACACATCTCACATCGGTCATTTCCTACACACCTCACATCAGTCATTTCCTACACACCTCACATTAGTCATTTCCTACACATCTCACATTAGTAATTTCCTACACACCTCACATCGGTCATTTCCTACACACCTCACACAGTCATTTCCTACACATCTCACATTAGTCATTTCCTACACACCTCACATCGGTCATTTCCTACACACCTCGCATCAATCATTTCCAATCACACATCTCACATTAGTCATTTCCTACGCACCTCACATCGGTCATTTCCTACACACCTCACATCAGTCATTTCCTACACATCTCACATTAGTCATTTCCTACACACCTCACATTAGTCATTTCCTACACACCTCACATCGGTCATTTCCTACACACCTCACATCGGTCATTTCCTACACATCTCACATTAGTCATTTCCTACACACCTCACATCAATCATTTCCTACACATCTCACATTAGTCATTTCCTACACACCTCACATCAGTCATTTCCTACACACCTCACATCAGTTATTTCCCACACACTCACATTAGTCATTTCCATACCTCTCACACCTTTCACATCAGTTGTTTCCTACACATCTCACATAAAAAAATAACCACTAACTTTGCAAAATGTGGAAAATAATGAAGGGTTGTTGACAACTGGTCCACACACCTCTTGAAGCCACCAAAACAATGACGAGTGTCGCAACTTTCCTTATCACCACCACCACTGTCATAGATAAGAGTATTGATCAAGTTAATTATCTGGTCTTATCATTTGCTGCGATGGAATGCTGAGATAATATTACTTTGTAATGAAAGATTACGCTTTTCACAGGTAACATGTTAATGCTGCTGTACAATTATCAAAATAATGGACCTTGAAGACAAATTTAAGATTAAATTTGAAAATAAGGTCATTTAACATTTAAAATATACAAAATGGTGGAAGATTTAAGTACAATGATGAAAATCTAAAAGGAACTTCATATTAGTATCGGTGTTACGTGAGCAATTACCAAGTAGGAAGAGAAAGTGTATACAATGTGTATAATTGTAAAAAATATTATCAAGATACCCGAATACTTTATATTGAGCTAGTAAAAAAAAAGTATTATTAACTTGCAGGTTTTCACTACATTTCCCGAGACATCCTCTTGTTTACCGATAGTTCATATGGATTAGGTTAATACCATCTCTGCCGAGTATTTAACGTAAATTTTAACCAAACATGAGCCACGTACAGTGCTGTAGTCACCACAAGTACTGTCTCTCTCCTGATATCAATACTGATTCAGTTGACTTGCACATTTTCTCAGTGAAGCACTGAGTCAATGTTAGGAAAATTATAAATAATTTACCATCATATGTTTATTTTTAAACACTTGCCAGAAATCAGTTATAAATCAAATAATTTTTATTTAGAATTTAAAAAAACTCTAATTAATCAACTAAATTATCAATGGGGCAGCTGGTCTGTTCTTTACTTTGTTAGACCTTCATTGTCTAGTGTTAGTTACAGTAGTACTGACCTCCTGGGGGAGCACACACATGCCCTACAACCCTGACCTCCTGGGGGAGACACACACATGCCCTACAACCCTGACCACCTGGGGGACACACACATGCCCTACAACCCTGACCTCCTGGGGGACACACACATGCCTTACAACCCTGACCTCCTGGGGGACACACACACACACACTTGCCCTACAGCCCTGACCTCCTGGGGGACACACACACATGCCCTACAACCCTGACCTCCTGGGGCACACACTCTGCCCTACAGCCCTGACCTCCTGACACACACACACACACACACACATGCCCTACAACCCTGACCTCCTGGGGGGGACACACACACACATGCCCAACAACCCTGACCCCCTGGAGGACAAACACACGACCTACAACCCTGACCTCCTGGGGGGGACACACACGCCCTACAGCCCTGACCTCCTGGGGGACATACACACATGCCCTACAGCCCTGACCTCCTGGGGGACACAAACACGCCCTACTGAGTTGCCTATACAAATACTGCATGAAATATGGCATGGGTTATAGAATAAATTGTGATCATCAGAAATTGTAAAATGATTATAGAAACTTAGTTATATTGAAAAATTCTTAGCCCCTCCCCCATGAGTGGCAGCAGGGGAGGGTGAATCAAGTGGATAGGGTGGAGAGACATATTATAATGCCTTTAATAATGGCGTTATATTGATACGTCAATGAAATACTAAAGAATCAAAGAATGGAATGCAAAACAAGAAATACTCAGCCAATGAGAAGTAGAGTATATGATGTAATGCATGAACATGTAGAGTGCAGCCACTACATTCAATATACTGGCTCATCTTTCGTGCTTGGCAGACCCATCTACCCTAGAGGGTCAATTATATTATTGTTATTTATTGTTAAACACTTCTCTCATTATGGTCATACTCCCCCCCCCCCTAAATTTTTCTCAATGGATCTACACAATTCACATGGGTCGCCTAAAACGAGGGGGAAAAAACAAAAAAACGGAGAAATCACATCCCTGATATATACGAGGTGTGATGCAAAAGTTCCCAGACTGGCTTCATGTGGCCTTCCACTGAGAGAAATGATGAAAATGTCCAGAAGAATTACCAGCTTGTCCATGAAGATTTTAGGGTGACCACACGAGATTGCCGAGCGGTTGGACTTCTCATATGGAAATATTAACCGGATTCCGATTGACGACTGGCAACTGGCTGATTCACCATGGCAATGCACCTGCGCACTCTCTCTCCTCTCTGTGAATGATATTCTGGTGAAGTACAGCATCCCAGTGGTCCCCCACCCTCCGTACTCTCCAAATCAGGCCCCCTGTGAGTCTTGGCCGTTTCTGAAGTTCAAATTGAACCTCAAGGGGAAGAAGTTCATTGGCAGAAACAAGCTCCAAGAAAAATCACAGGTGTTTTTCAGCCTCACCAATGATTGGTGATAAAAGATTCCATGAAGGAATTACGATGGACAATAAATATGATGTTTTAAGGAGGTAACTCCCAGAACTCCGATCAGACCACCCCACCTCACCACCACCTGCAGCACTCAACATTATTTGTGGCAAATTAAATTCAAGTGTGTGCATTTATTGTCATGTTATATCATGAATGAATTATTATATGCATTTATTTTCATTCATATAGTACTGTATATGAACGAAAATAGATGAACATATTATGTGCTTGGATTACGTGTTTGGGCCGCAAAAATTTCCATAGGAATGCATCTCAACTTATATTATGGGAGTCAATGGGAAAAATGGTTTTACGATATGGAAAAATTTTCAGGAACGGAACCCTTCCGTAACCCTCGGGATGCATGTACTGTACTGTACCGAAGATGTAAGTGTGCTGTACTGTAGTTGTGTGAAATGTGAATCTAATTGTCATCACAGATAATACGTACAGCTAAATAAACAAGCTGTAAAATTTAATTAGGGTAAAATAATATATAAAAAATATAATAATTTTTATTTGTGCTTAACAAAAATAAGTTTATCCTCAAAATACAGTGGAGTTAAAATATTCACAAGGATTGACTAGAATACAAAAAGTTAGGTACTGTACTGGCTATGTACAGTAACATACACTGTATGGTGTCTATTTTGTCTTCATAAAATTTTTAGCAGTGTCCATAAATCAAATGCTGTACAAAACTTAATACAGTAGCATGAAAAATATTGTACAGTACTGCACTGTACGTACATAGAACATGCAGGTTTTATAATACGTACTTAACAAACAACTCTTGGGTTGTTTCTTCCTTTAGTAGACATCCACATTTGCAGTGTGTTCTCTCTATAATACAGTAAACCCTTGATAACTTGGCATTTATAGAATTCAGCACAGCTATGCTCTCAAGAATTTATTAAAATTAACTCTGGAAATGCAGTTATATAAAATTATCTTGGAAAATCTCAGTACATTTAGCAGCATGGGTAATGCTCACCGCACTCAATGCTTGGTAGGTCTGGTGTTTGTTATTGTTGTGGTCGGGTGGATGGTGGCTCACTCCACCCAGTACATGGACGCTGGAAGGAAGGGCGCTGTAGCACCCTAATATTTTGGATATAAAGTACTATCCATTGCACTACAGAGTACTGTATCTAGGGCACCAGAATTAATATTTAGCACTCCCGAGTAAAATTTGGTTCCTGCAGCACTAACCCATTAACACCCAACAAATTCCCAATTCATGTCAGGCCACTGTATACAAAACGTCTCCACCATTACGGTAAATCTAATGTCATAGACTTTACCTTAACTTACAGTGCAATTCATTTTATCTGAATTCAAACTATCTAAAGTTTCCAGGTATCCAAAAGTTGTCCCCTTTGGTGAAAATTCTAATTTAGTCCAACAATCTGAATGCAACTGAAGTCAAATATTCATGTGTCTGACACCAGTAGTGCTATAACCACTTTTTAAACAAATATTGCTATGATAAACGAAATTGATACATAGCATATCATAAAATACAATAGCACATATTTTATATCCCCAAAATAGCTCTTTCCACACTCAAACCACCATCTAAGTGACGCCACAGTTCAGCCTGGCATTCAATCAGCTGACTAAGAGGTGTGTGTGTGTGTGTATGCCATGACATTACATGGGAAGGAGGGAGGCAGGTGAGTCAGCCAAGCAGTACAGCTCACACACCTATATGTACTCTATATTTTTCTCATCTTATTGTTATACATTACATTGTCTTTATTTCTAAGCTACATTAGAGTATTAAATTTTTACTCTTTTGCACTGTATTAAAGAAAATGGTTTTACTAGGGTTGACTATAATATCCTGCATGGTATAAGTTACATGTTTATTGACATACTCAGAATTGAAATATACAGAGAAATAATTGTATATTTGTTAAAATTTATTCTTTATTTTTTTATAAGTGACCAAATTAGTATACAGTACATACTTGCCGCACTGTTTATGTAGCATTCCCCCTCTATCACCTCCACCAACTGCGTTAACTACCATGCCTCTGCAGTGCTGGTAAGTGTTACTTTTTGAAAATTAGTAATTAAATGTACACACACTGTATATATTCCATATGTTAGCTCAGGCCAATAATACTTTTTTTTTTATTATTATAGGGGGAGGGAAGCACGTCAATAATTCAGAATTTGGGATAATTCGGCAAGGCCAGAGCCTCATACAGTATAAGCCAAGTTATCAAGGGTTTACTATAACTGAAGTTATTAAGTTACACAATCGTCAGATAATTTATGGACACCAAGTTCAGCAAATTCACCATAAATACTCTACTTCAGTCATTTGTGCATACAGTACTGTAACAGCTGGATGGATTCATTCATTTTAACTTTCATTGCAACAGGTTAACATATTTCAATTATTATGAAATATCAAATATTTATTAGAAATATAAGTAATAAAATAAAATTTATCAATAAATATCTCAATAAAGAAAGAAAATATCTTTAAGTTATCAGCATAAGGTGTTAAACATCATCAGGAGGCCAAAAAAAGTGAACTATTGTTTTACCTTCATCAGTTTACACTCAGCTCTTGTTTATTTTTCTTCAAGCTGAAAATGAAATACAGTACATGTAGTTATGGAAACAAATTCTGATACACATAATAAATTACTGTATGTACTATAGTCCAAATCAAATAGAATCTTAGAAAAATTTACACTTTGTTAAATTTAGAATTTAAAAAAATATATAAACATCATTTATATCACAGTCATGTGACCTTCAAATATCAGATTAATTCAACAGACTTATTTTTTAAATGAAAGCCTCAATATTGTAAAAATAAGTAAAATTTCAAGTGGTCTGGAACTGATGTTGTGCACTTAGACAGGTGTAAACCATTGACTAAGTAGTCAGGCAGATTATTATCTACATGAAGAGAGAAGCCACCACCAAACATTGTTACAGTACAGGACAACTCATCTCTAAACTACCACAGTCAATGTCTGTTATATCTAAATAAAGCTTAGGTATTGTATTCAGAAACACTACTGGAAATCCTATTATGCAGGAACAATAACACCCATAACAAAAGAATACTGTACATTTTTCTATAAAAAAAAATATGGAATAAAGATATACTGAACCTTCAATCATTGTTGTCAGAATTATCACCAGTGGGAGTGCGGCAAAATGGGCAGTGACCCTTCTGAAGAACCTGAAGTATGTAATCATCAGTGTGAAACATCTGAAAGAAACACACATGTCACTTCTACAAGTTACATTATATAATACCATAATGACTGAACAGAACTACACAAGTGGGAGATAATAACAAAACAAAGTGTTAAGAGACAGTAAAACTAACCGACCCTGTAATAGCCAGTCCAAATGTCTCTAAAACATAGGATATTACTAACAATGAAGGAAATATATCTAATATTCCTTAAATAAATTATCATAATGTAGGAAAAATATTTAATATTACTAAAAATAAATGATCATAGTGAGGATAAAATATCCAATAATGTACAGTTTTACTAAAAAAAATTCAAAATGAAGGGAAAAAATTTATTACAAAACAAATCTTCATAATGAGGGGAAATCATATATTACTCATCAATTTCATAAGTTCACCTTGTTGCAGTGGACACAGTGTGTGATGGGCATGTCAGACATGATGTTTTTGAAGAACTGGAATTTGAGAGGTTTTGGCCAACGGCATATTATCACATCATGAGGTTCCATGGCTATCAGTGCTGACCGCCCAAGAGTAACCGGCTGGTATTCAGACCCTCCCTGTTCAAATGGTCAAAATAATGAACAAATTAAAAATTTTCAAGGCAAATCAGGGCTGACTTTAATATCAAATAAATTAACTTATTCAATGCAGATGTGCCATATATGGAACAGTCCATCTTCATATCCAGAGTAATACTCATACACTTTTTCTTCCCCTCACCACTTGTACTTGCACTATGCTTGTCATTCATTATTTAAAGATGACAAGGATAAATCCACTACTCACAGCAAGATAGAGCACAATGAGACCGAGATTCAACTTCTGACGTTGTTTATACTAAATCAACCAAGTAAAAAACAAAACAACGACATAAGTTGGGGAAATTTCTACATCGCATTCCTCAATTAGTCAACGTCAGTGCAAAATGTCATATAGTGATGATGCATAACAAGGACCCCCTGTATACTGTAATTGGATCACCTGTAAATGGTTTTACAAAACCCCACTATCAATACTCAAATTAATGAGTTAAGCATCAAAGGTAGTGACCATCTAAACACCATTAATGGGTTATCAGTAATCGGATAACTATTGAGACACACCTTCACACAATACTCACACAGAAGTTCATGAGGTTTGTGGTGAAAGGATCATCATTGTTTTGTGAATTTGTTGGTGAGCCATCAAGGGTGAGAGCCTGAGCATCTCCTGACTCTGTTTGTCTCCAATGATTTTCTTCTTCCTCACCAGTGTCTTTCACTGAACCTTCACTGTCACCTGAACCACTGCCACCTGACTGCTGAATGAAACGCACAGCTTCCTCGTCGGTAATTCCTTCCTCTAACACAAACTCTACAACTGGTAAAATTTCTGCAACACAATGATGATGTAACATAAACATAATATTTATAAAAAATTGTATGTAAAAATAATGGAAGTGCACTACTGTAATTACAATCAAACATAACCAAGCAAACACATACAGAAGTTCTCACTTAACAAGTAATAGGCATTACTAAAAAAATGCTCCTTAAGTGAACTGCTGTTTATCGGAAACATTACTCGTTGAAGAATACCTTCCAATATATCATTTGAATGGGCATAGAAATAGTAACATATGGTATATAATATTTTACCAAATATTATACAGTACAGTATAGCTAATGATATGTTAAAAAGTATGCTCATGGAACAGTAAATGTTAATCTCTAATTAGGGATAAAAGAACCCAATCGATATGAAACCGTCTGACCATAATTTAATGAAAAAAATATATTTACTTTAAGAAAATTAAAGGTATAATGACTCTAAACCTTAACCCCAGTGACTCTAAACCCCTACCCAAAGTCACTCAAACCTTTACTTCCAAGAACCACAGTGTGGGTTGATGATAAATCACTATCCAGATGTAAAATTTGTGGCTGAGGAAGTATATTCCTCTGTCAAGGGCTGTAGTAAAACTTAACTGTGCCCTTGTAGAGCACTTTATTAAATTGATCCTAATTAGTTTAGCAATTACTTAGAAAAGTATAATTGTTTTAGATGCTCATAACACCACTTTTAATATTTTATTTGCCTAACACCAGACAATTTTATTTGGCAGTGGGAGGACCCTGTACACAAGTGGTTATAGGAAAGGATTCTCATTAAGGTTTTACTTAACATCTAAATATGTTGTGAGAGCAAGAATTATGAACATAGAATGGTGTTGAACATGCTAGTTTTTCAAGCTGAGAATCTGACCACAAATACATTCAAACTGAGGAGTCTCATCTTATTTAGGAATGTACTAGACCATCAAGTCTTAAGACGACCAATCTTTAAGAATGACTAAAGATGTTGAACACAAGACCCCATTATAGAGCAGAAAGTTTAGAGATTGTGACCTTACCTGACCTACCCCACCCCACCACCTCATTTATCATTAGGATGTTTAATTATTGTGTGAAATAAATGGGGGTTCCTAACTTCAAGACATCCCTGCTGTGGTTATCTAAGCATGGTGAGTGTAAATGCTTCATGATGCTGGATGACATAAAACAAACAGTAATTTACCTCCCTTACCAGAAATAAACTGTGTCATCATGTGGATAGGTAGGCATGGTTAGGTTAGTTTTCTGTGTTATAATAAATGTTTGCCTTGTTTACAGTACAGTGACACTTATGATTTAATTTCACTCTATTTTTCTTAGTTTTTACTCTTTCTACATTTATCTTCTGAGGTGAATATGATAAAATACTTTAACTATGTGTGACATATATATTCACATTCATTGACTTAACATCCTATTATACTACATACACTTACCGGTAAGTCAAACTTAAGACATAACATCATAAAAGTCTGGGAAATACATACCAAATGACACGAAGGAATAAACAAACGGGTGGCAACAATTAACACACTGGTTGCCGTTGTTGTTGACGAGAGGATTGGTGGTAGAGCAGCGATAACACAGAGGCTGGTGTTCCTCGTTGTCGTGGAAAGGTTTGGCCCGAATTTTCAAGGCTGCCAATTCAACATCCTCCTGTCCCCAAAATATGGCTTTGAGTCTTAAAAAGTAATTGATAAGTTCTTTGTATGTACTGTACACCTGCCTCTTGATTTACGTGGTATAGTTGTGTTCTTGAAAATGGCCGCATAACTCAAAAACGTGTAAATCAAACATAATTTTCCCATAATAAAAAAAAGGAAATGGTGGGGTTAGGGGGAGCAGCCTCAAAACTCAATTGTACGTCTATATCATATACTGTAGGTACATACAGTATATCCTTCACTCTTTGTATACATACAATACAAACAAAAGAATACAGCTAAATCGATGTAAATTTAATAAGCCTTGGCTTGAATGAACAGCTTGCTGACAGATACATTCCACCGGTTTTGATCTTCAATCCCCGGACCCGGCATCTTCTCCATGATCAAATTTCGTACATATGATGTCTTTGTGGCACTCATTGAAGTTCCAGACTTAGCACTTTCCTTAATTTTGGTGGCATTGTCACATATTGTCCTGATGGTTCTCTCACTAAGGTCAACCACCTAACCTATATCAGCTATGGTTCTTCTCTCTCATTGTGGCTTATTATGTCGAATTTATCACCAAGAGTGATAGTCTTTTGCTGCTGCTTGGGCTGGGTGGCACCTTTGGATGTACAGGTACTCCTCGATTTAGACCTACTCGACATACGACCATCCAGTACAACCACCTCAGTCATACCAAAAAATTTTCAAACTCCGTACGTATTTTCTAGGACTGAAACGTTTCCGTCCCGTACTAGAGCGTCGCATGGGCTGGGTTGCCTCGTGGAGTACAGCATCCACGCTCAGTTGGTGTTTGGCTGTCGTTGTTGTTGGTAGTGATCGCGCTGTGTACTGACAATATTTTTGTTGCTAATTCCCTTTAGAATGACTGGCAAGCATAAAAGTGTGAGTTCTGGTGGTGCTCAGAAGAAAAAGAGACAGTCAATTACTTTTGAGATGAAAATGAAAATAATAACGCAATATGAAAATGGAAAAACGGTAGCAACCATTTCACGTGACCTAGGCTTCTCTCACTAGACGATATCAACAATTTTGAAGGACAAGGAACGAATTCGTGAGGTAATGAAAAGATCAGCACCTATAAAAGGAACAATAATAACGAAAAAAAAAGACAAGGTCCTATTCATGAGATGGAAAAATTACTTGTGGTGTAGATGGAAGATCAGATACAAAAGCGCGTACCCTTAGGCCCTCTAACCATACAGGCTAAGGCAAGAAGCCTTTTCGAAAGGTGAGTGGAGAGGCAGCAAGTGCTGATGTGGGTGCTGCTGAAGCTTTTAAGGAGCTAGATCGTGTCATCGTGGAGGGAAATTATTTGCCTGAGCAAATGTTTAATGTGGATGAAAGTGGCTTATTCTGGAAGCGCCTGCCAGAACGGACATACATCCACAAAGAGGAGAAAACCATGCCGGGATTCAAGGCATTCAAGGACCGAATCACACTTCTGTTGGGGGTATGTAGCTGGTTTCAAGATAAAGCCCTTCATGATATATCATTCAGAGAACCCAAGGGCTTTTAAACATGTCAGCAAGCACACACTGCCAGTGTTTTATTGCAGTAATAAGAAAGCATGGATGACCCTAGTACTGTTTGAGGATTGGTTCCCGAGTTGTTTCATTCCACGAGCCAAGGAGTATTGTCTGCAACAAGGGATTGCGTTCAAGATTTTATTAATTTTGGATAATGCTCCGGGACACCCACCACACCTGGACGACCTGCACCCTGATGTTAAGGGAGTCTACATTCTACCTAACACTACCTCTATCATCCAACCCATGGATCAAGGTGCTATTACTGCTTTTAAAGCGTATTACTTACGTACGACCTTCGCTCAGGCTGTTGCTGCTACTGAAGGTGAGAAAATGCTCAAGAGTTTTGAAAGGACTATAACATTTTGAAATGTATAAAGAACATAGCTGCAGCATGGGATGAGGTTACAGGTCAGAGCATGAATGGTAGATGGAAGAAAGTCCTGAAAAGATATGTGAACAGTTTCAAAGTATTTAATGAAGATGAAGCAATTTCTGAGATTAGTAACAAGATAGTGGAGTTGGGTAAACAGCTGGAGTTAGAAATTGATAATGAAGATGTTGAGCAGTTGGTTGAAAGTGGAGCAGAAGCTCTAAGTAACGAGGATCTTATTGAACGGGATGCACAGAAAATTGCAGAGGAAGAAGAGAGTAAAAATGTAGAAGAACCTGCACCCCCCAAAAATTTCCAGTGAAACAAATGGCAGAGGCATTTGCCACTATTAATAAGGTGATGAAAATGTTTGACGAAATGGATCAAAATGTTGAGCGTTTTGCAAAAGTTGACAGAATGATCCAAGATGCACTTGCTTGCTACAGGGAGATTTACAATGAAAAGAAAAGGCAAACTGTGCAGTCTAAGTTGCACTTATATTTTAAGAAGTCCCCCAGTACTGGCTCCTCACGCCCCACCAGTGCTGCCTCTTTACTCCCTCAAGATGATCCAATACCTTCAACCAGCAAGTTACCCCTGTACATAAACCTATCTGAAGAAAGCGACATTGATGACCCACCCAGCCCTATCTCCTACTCTGCTTCATCCAATTAATGTAGTCCCCATGTTTAATTAAAAAATTATTGGGGCCCCGTGTGCATTCAGCTGACTACATTAAAGGTAAGTGCACAGTAACACTTGATTCATTTTTCATTATTGATTACTTTTACTGTACTGTATTTCATTTTATATTTTCTATATTATTTTTTGCATTTTCGACTTACGACCAATTCGACTTGCGACTTGGATTTGGGTCCCTAACCCCGTCATAAGTTGGGGACTGCCTGTAGTTGAATGTTTATAAGTCATCATAAGGGCTGAAAGTTACACACAAACACAAAACACCACAAGAACAATCACGAGAAAACTAGGTAATCACTCACTCAACAATGGTTACCGGATGCTAATCCATGGCGCATGCTCACCCACTCATCCTTACTCATGCCGCGAGTCATATAGTACTGTACTGTATCTCATCGGCATCGCTTGCTCACTGCCAGCCCACAACAGACTGTTTGGCATGCAATTCAGACTCCGTAATAAAAAAAAAATATGACCACATTAATTAAAAAATGGTATAAATACAACACAAGTGTTATTCTAAATATGCATAAATTAAATTCATGTAATTCGAGAGGCAACTGTATAGTACATCTGGCATCATTACAATTTAAGTCATGCAATACAATGCTCACTAGAAAAGGGTTTTCTATTTAAAATCAATGTAACAAAAACCACAGACAAAATACATACAGCACATATTATTGTAACTATAAAATACTTATAAAATTTTGCTCATATATTGTGGAGGAGCCATCTACTCAATAAACTTCATTACTCCATCCACCAGTAGTGAGACAGGTACTCCAAGGACAGGCAGCTGTGATCATTGTGTTACATAACTTTGTTCATATGTCCAACTGTCTCATACACAAAAGAAGAGATCATCATTGAACTACTTTTCACATTATGTATTTTCATACACATTATGGACCACATGAACTATCTATAACAGTGTTCTCTTCAAAGTCCTTCCTTAAAATACAAAATTACCTGAAACCGTGGTGGAATGCGCAGAGTTTGCAGTTTGTTCAACACGTAGCGCGCTAATTTGTAAGCTTCAAGATTTCTTGCTTGTTTGGACAAAGTGTACAGCGAAGAGCTAAAGAAACACCAAGGAATTTTTTTTTTACATGTGACCTTTTTTTTATACAACAAACAGCTAAAGAGACACTAAGGGAAAACTACTGAAAATGACTTTTTATACATCAAAGAGCTACAGAAACACTAAGAAAAAATTACTCTAAAAATGTGTGACCTTTTTTATCCATCAAACAGCTAGAGACACTAAGAGAAAACTTCTGAAAATGTGACCTTTTCTTTATCAGAAAAATGCAATACTGACCATAATTGAAGGAGTAATCCTGAAGTACCATTACATAACCCAGACCAGAATAAGCAACTCTAAAATTACTGCACCAAGTCCAAATACAGGTACAGTATTGAAAACTCGAATCAACTTCGAGTCACTACAGTATACTATTCTAGGAAAACAAAAGTTGTTTATCTCATGAGGGTGATAAAGTTGTATTTGTCTCTTGAAAGAAGTGAGAAAGTTGTGTGTGTCTTATGAAGGAAAGAAAGTTGTGTGTATCATAGAGAAAAAGTTGTGTGTCTCATGGAGAGAAAGTTGTGTGTGTCTCATAATGGAGAGAAAGTTGCATGTGTCTCATTCATAAAGGAGAGAATGTTGTATGTGTCTCATCAAGGAAAGTTGTGTGTCATCAAGGAGAGAAAGTTGTGTGTCTCATCAAGGAGAGAAAGTTGTGTGTCTCATCAAGGAGAGAAAGTTGTGTGTCTCATCAAGGAGAGAGTGTTTCTGTAGGATGTAAAGTAGTTAGCAAGACACAAAAAACATATCCCTTCATTTTCAAAAGTGAAGTAAAAGCATACAATTTGGAGATGCCTGTGGGTTGTGTGGTCATAAGTTCATGCATCAGGAATCTTGAAATGTTGAACAAAGCTTCTGGCATGTATGATGTGAAGGGTTCATCCTGCAATGAAATAAAAAGTTCTTAAGATATACAGTATTCATTAACCTACTGAATACTATATTGTACAAGAAAACATTCTGGTAAATGTTCATGAACAATATATACTTACTCAATTTACTTTACTCAACAGATATACAGTATAGCAAGAGGCAGTAGCATTATAAATATAGTAAAGTGCAGTATAGAAGTGCACATTTTCTGATTTGGAGCAAATTGCAAGTGAACTTAACAAAATAGCACTGTGCAATATTATCAAAGCAGCCATCAAGAAGAAATATGGTACAGAAGTATGTATCAGATTTAATTAGATGAAAAATGGTAATAATATACAATAATGAAATCACCATCACCAATTTACAGCCATATTCCACCTCCAACCTACTTTTACAGAGTGAGAGCTGGACATTACAGTATATGTAGGAGTTCTCATTACCCGGTCATCATTGCCATCATTCTAGTTCTCATATTTTGGCTTTTACCATAGTTACTCAGTTCCTCCTTGGTTTTTACCATAGTTACTCAGTTCCTCCTTGGCTTTTACCATAGTTACTCAGTTCCTCCTTGGTTTTTACCATAATTACTCAGTTCCTCCTAGGTAAAGTATTCACAACAGCCCAAGTTTCACACTTTAGGTTTAGTTCAGTCCATAATATTCTGGGACTGTCCACTTATAAGTTACTGTACAACTACACATTTCACCTTTACCACATTTTTCTAACACTTGACAGACACTTCACTCACTGGTCCAAGTTCACCTCTCCTTAGCCTTTAGACTTCACTCTGCACAACACTATAACATCCACATTCCTTGTTTTCATTGAATTTTCTGTCACTTGCTCATTACCACTCTAGTTATATCCACACACAACAAAACATCCCAGAGTACAGTATATGATCAACGGTTACCAAAAATGATCAATGCCATATATGGTCAATACCCTTGCCATACATAATCAATATACCTATTCAAACCAATTATGATCAATACAGTTACCATACACAGTACACTGTACACTCATTAATTTGGACAATAAAATTTGGATTTTGGCTTAATTCGTATGTTTTTTTTAATTAATTAAACAATTTGAATTTGGAATGAATCTGAAGTAAATCGAGCGTTTCTGAAAAGTGGATCATTATTACAGGAATATATTTTGAAACAGATTAAGATGAATGAACTACAGGATTAAAACATGATTTATATTAAGATACTGCTACAAAACTACATTTGGATGTAAAGCTCGAGAGAGGGGATGGAGGAGGCAGAGGGAGGAGAAGACAACTCACCTCCCTCGCTCCCTTTATAATAACAATATGCAATTTCAACATAATTCCCATATTATTTAGGATCATTTGGTGCTGGGTTAATAAAACATTATGGAAAAATAATTAATTTTCCCCCAAACTCCCACACTCAATCCCAGAAGAGCTATTGTGCCATAGCATATTCCTGGTCTCTTGTTTACAGTGGTAACAGCTGATCTCCCTAGCAATGTTGCCAGCACTCGCCATCTCACAAGCACTGTCACTGCTCAAGAGGGTTAGCGCTTACCACAGTAAGCACTTGGTAAATAATATTATAGCATATTTATCAGAACTTAATAAATATTATTGTAGTGTATAATGCATTTCCATATGCCCTGGTTTATTCACTGATCAGTTGTCAAAGTGCTAAAGTAAAAATTAACTTTAAAAGAAATTAGAAATTAAAATGCTATTAGACAATGGTTTTGTAGTGCTGTTAATGTGTTTATTGTGTAAGTGCCTTGTCACATCACCTCACCTCCTGCCTTGTCACCTCACCTTGCAGTGTTACATTTATTTATTACTGTATTATTTACTTTATTATTACTGTAAGCACTGTACAAAAATTTATTTTTTGCACAATAATTATATATAGATTATTTTATGCAGCAGCCAAGGCATGGCCAGGTGCAAAAACTGAACAGAAAAGAAACAAATAATAATAAAAAATTCAAAAAATCGGAAAATGTTAAATAATGTAAAAATATTCCGTACACAATTAATTAAGATTTTTCAGTAATTCAAGAGACCCAGAGCCCCCTTTATTGTCAAATTATTGAGGGTATGGTACACAATTAATAAACTTACTATATAAAATCAATATAAGTATGATCAATACCAATAATAATCACCACATTTAATCAAAATAAATACTGTATGATCAAAACACTCACCAAAAATGACCAATACACCTACCATATATCGTTGAATAGTGTGGTAAACATAATACATTGAGGCTTTCTTCTGGTAGTCCTTGAATTTGGTCATCATTGCATCATGTTCATTCTTACTGGAAGGAAATAAGATGAATAAATTAAGGAATGATCTCATCTTACTGATGAGCCTGGAACAAGGCAGCTCAGGTATATATAATACTCACACTAAACCAATGACCAGAGAAACCCAATGCTAGTGTCATGGACTATTCAAAACAATTAGTATAGTACTGTACAGTATATCATCACCAATATTTCATGGCCATATTCCATGCTTGTTTTACCTCCCTAATACAACTGTCACCCTGCAGTGGAAGAGCAGTCACAATGGGTGAGTGGTTGGACAAGCAAATGTTGTCACAGTAGGCAGGGAGCATCTTCCCCATATCGAGTTCTGGGCATCAAACCTAACACACTTAAGCACACACACACATTCATGGTGGGGAAGGAGAAGGTGTCTCGGCCACCTAGTTCCAGTTTGTCATACTACACTACTCCTACTCCATTTCAAAACTTGAATCACTTGAAGATTTGCCTCCCAACTTATTTAAACTAATGATTAAACACCCATATGCTGTTTAGTTTAGGATTGGTTAGTATTTGGGTAGTTAATATTCAGGTGATCCAGGTAGGCAGAGAAACAGATAAACATATATATACACACATACCAAGATGCTGATGGATTGATAAAGATCTGGTGACAGAGAGACAGGCATAAGAAACATGCAGGTAGCACATAGAAGCTAAAAACTTCCCAAGAATAAAATCTTACTCTTCTGCTGCTATGTCAAGACACTGCATAGCCAACATCCAGAAGTAATACCCGGCATCATCATATCGGTTTTCATTGACAGCGTTCATTGTGAGCTGTTCCAGTACCCTGAAGGCCTCCTCTGGCTTCCCTGCCTTGTGGAAAGCTGAAAAATGCAATCATTTAATTGTACAGTATTATACATAAACCAAACCAAACCTCACCTAATCTAACCTAACCTAACCAAACCTATCCAAATCTCTCCTGTCTAACAGAGCCCACTCACAGGCAGGCAGTTTTGATACACTTCCTCTTCCATTAGGCTCATGGCCAGTGAGCTGGAAACCATGGAAAAATGACAGACCAGTTGTGTAATATAAAAATGGAGGCCTATAGTGGTGGTGTGAGGTACTAAATAGGTAGCTCAACTCTACCTGCCTCACTAGTAGCTTCCTCATTCTAATGGTGATGGGGATTCATTACATTCTAAGAGCATGTGTTCACCAGTAGTCTTACAGAACTCAATTAAGTTAAAAAAAGAAATAATATTCAGAATAATAAAACAAACATTAACAAACACCTTTTTAGGGCATTACTGTAGTTGCTCTGTAAAGTGTATAATATTTACTAACCTTTCTGAGCTTGTAAGAACTTGTCTTGCTCAGCGAGTGATGTTGCATATGGAACATAAACCAGTTGGCGATATTCTGGATGTTTCTCGGCCCATACGAAGGCTTCTTCCCAATCTTGCACTTCAACATACAGCTCTATAACACTCTGTATCTCTCCCATCTTTCTACAGTAAGAAATCAATTGAAAAAATTGAAAAATGGTACAAATTGGCCAGACTGGATAAGAAGAATTTATATACGGAACAATAAAAAGCTTTTTTGACCAACACACAAACAAGGGTTCATGTGATCCTAATATTCCTTCAACCACTGTTAATCTTGGTCAGAAAACACAGTAAGTACCACTACATAAGGGGAACCTGTGCTAGTGAATCAAAGACTTTATATAAAAAAACAAAATATTCTCATTAAAGACACTAGATTCTACAGTACACAATGAACCAGTGACTTACTTGTACATCTCTGCAGCGTGTGTCAGGGAGCCTAAGCGGCGCAGGTGCTGGGCACACAGATTAAGTGTCTGATGGTCAGCCTTGTCAGTCTTGCGGCCAACATCCAACAACCTTCAAATAATGATGAACATGGGAATAAACTTGAGACTTACATTAAAACTGCAGATTAATTTTAATCAGCTTATTAGTACTGTATAACAATTGCCTGTTTATTTACCTATATTTCTCTCTATGTACAGTTGTGAACAAAAAGAATTTGGCAGGCAGGCAGGGAGGGAGGTGGTGTATGAGAGGGTAGGGGTAGGTGGAGACTTGACAATGTTACAAAGAGGTAGAGATTGGAAGTCTGCAATTTTCTTTCCATACCACAGTGATTTTTTTTTTTTAGTTTAATTATGAGGGAGACACAGCTTACACTCCTTCCATGCCAAGTTCTTTTTTGTCCACGCCCTATATTTCTATGTACGTAAATTTCTCTGTATGTACAGTACAGTCGCACCAAAAAGTAACGGTGCAGGGTGAGATCGACGAGTTCCGAAACGATACGTATACACTGTGATATGTCGGGAAGGTTGCTAAGTGTATCCTCATAACCCCCCCCCCCCTCCACTAGGTGTTGCCATATGGCTGACAATCAGGGCTGCCAACATACGGCTGGAACAACTCGCCTTTCCCAATACCTATCGTCACTGGTCTCAAATTGTTCACACTACAGTATGCACCGATACTTTTTGTTGCGAGTGTACCTACCTATTTCCTATGTTTCATTCCCAACTGAGGTACAGTGAGTTCTGCTATAACGCGTGTTTTGATAACGCGAATTTGCTCTAACGCGATTTATGAATTAGGAACGATATTTGTATAACGCGAACGCTTGTTTGCTATAACGCGATTTTTGCTTACTATTTCTCCAATTTTGTGGTACAGTGGGGTATGCTATAACGAATCTAATTGGTTCTAGAACCTTGTTCGTTATAGCATTCATTCGTTATAGGATTAATCCGTTCCAGGCCCCCAAATACAACCACTTAACACTGAAAAATATAATATAAAATTGTAAAAATTGTAAAAAAGTGCATAAATATGCATCTAAACCCCTGAAATAAAGAATATCATTAATATTTGTAATAAAAAAACAATAAATTAGAAAAAAACAAAAAAAAAACAATTAAATAATGTGAATATAGTAAAGAAGAATATCAACAAGAAGCGTTCTGGTGATAGAATTCCCGGTGATGATCGTAAAAGAAAGGATATAACACTTGAAGAGAAGCTCGATTTTATCAACCTCAAAATCACCCTTCTCCCCCATCAAGTAAAGTGTAACATTTACTGTATGATTTCATTATTAGATATGAATGTAACATTTATTTAGACTGTGCTATCCTTTGTGTTAGGCTAACTACTAAATTTTTTCGATTTCGAGTAATCTGCACCTAACCCTATTTTCTCCATAAGCCCTGTTATTTCTATTACGCGATTTTCTATAACACGATATTTTACAAGAACACAATTATCGCGTTATAGCAGAACTACCTGTATGAGAATGGCAAACACGGAAAAAGTTTTAACCTGGCTGGCGTGAAGAGAATGACTGTCATTGGTCATCATGCAGGGACCAAGGTAAGAAGAACCCTCAAGAACCTAAATTGTTATGATAATTAGTCAAACATCAAAAAGAATAAGCATCCTGGTTAATAAGTGGATGATCCTCAGGTCAAGTACTGTATAATTAAGGCTATATTATCTAGCACACACAAACTTTGTCATAACAAAGGAGTACAGTCATAAATTTCAATGTTATATAATCATGATACCTTGACTGTACAGCCACTATAAACCTACATGTCTGTCCACCCATTTTCACCCATAATATCAATGGCTTTGTGAACCTCCCCAGCAGACAGGTACATCTCAGCTGCCGCTCGAGGTTCATTAATGTTTCGCGCCCAGTCTGCCTTCTTCTTGATCAGCTGCTTCCTGTCAACTGTTTCGTCTGAACCAAGGTAGTCCTGTCCGTGAGAAGAATATACCGTACAGTATATATGAAATAATGCTTTATAATAAAAAATATTCTAAATAACTGGCGGCAGAGAGGCAATAGCAGATAACCAGATAGACAAAATGAGAGGCTTCATTGTACATGATGATTATATGGCAAATCACATTTCATATATTACAACAAGTAAAATAAACGAAAGACAACAAATAAGGGGAGAATGTACGTATTCATACCTCTTTGCTTAGGATTCCTGTCATCTTGAATTAAGCAGCTAAAACCTTGGGAAAAATGAAAAAAAAAAGGAGAGAGAGAGAGAACAGACAGTGAGAGATACCAAAGATCTTACCTGTGCCAGATCAAACATTCTAAGATCTGTGTACATGTTCATTGCTAACTGGTCCTTCCCACTTTTGCGGTACAGCTTGGCAGCCTCGGAGAACTTGCCCTCAAATGCCATTATGTCTCCGAGGAAAATACTGTTATCCACCTCTCCCTTGTGTCGACGTTCCTGATGAATGAAAAGTATACTGTAATCAATTGTCTTGCTTTAAATTGACCCAGATCACTTGAAGATTTTCCCCCTACTTACCTCACCTGAAAATAAACTACCCTAATATTTAACTAACCAAATCTAACCTAACATATTAAACCCTACTTAACCTAACATCACATAACATCTTTCATCTGAAGATTAACAATCCTAACATAAAACTAACTAAATTTATCTTAATCTAACCTAACCTTACATAAACTAATGTAATGTAGCATAACCTAAATTGTCTGTACAGGTATTACGAATAAATAAATATATACAGAAGAAAATCCTGCACAGAAAGATGACTGAATTCTATCTATATAAATGGATAAATAAATAAATTAATCAATTGGCCAAGATAATACATTACCTCAATGGAATGTATCAACTCTAGGTACTTGAGGTTTTTAATACGAGTAAAAGCTTTCTTGCCGATGTTGTATTCAAGTCCCTGAAGAGCTGCCATGGCAAGAGCTTCCCAGTCACCGTCAGTAACACCCAGACAGGCTATCTCATATGCCTCCCTGGGGAAGAAATATATAAACATGAATATGCAGATCACCTGAAGACTTGTCCCTCCAGCTTCTTCCACCTGAAGTTTAACCACCCTAATGTTACATCTCTCAGAAAACTTTTGGAAATCCTTCCATAAATACAACTTTCTCATCCATGTATGTGTTTTACTATACAGGTACTACCATTTATCTTTCATCCTCTTTTATTATCGAGACCTACATATATTTTTATTTCTCGCAAAGATACGCACGCATGCACGCACACACAAAATAACACCTACTTGTACATCTTCTTCTCCAAATACTGGTACATAGGGGCTGACTGGGGAACTTCAATGGTGGACATACTGTAGATGTGAAGACAAAAGATCTTGCTGCCGCTGAATCCCACCACAAAGCCCTGGGTTGAATAAAAGACATGTATCCATAGAAGCCCAACATGAGACAGCTAAATAACATTCCATAAACTGAATGTAACCTGATGACAGTAAGTTTTTTTCATTAGAGGTGCCACACATGAAAACGTTTCGGAAATACCAAGTGGATTAGTCCAAGTTTAAATGATGGCCTCTAATGATGACTTTTTTATATACTGTACTAATTTGAGTTAATCTACCCAATTTCAGTTATTTTTACAAATTAACCATAAGAAAAAGTCATGTTACCTGTAGTTTCTGCTGGTGTGTTGGGAAATTTGAGGCCTTGATGTTGAGAGTGTTGTTTCCCGAGAAACACAGCATTTCTTCACAGCTGGTATTCCACGCTACACTGTTAGCATTAGGCTCCTGGAAAATGCATAAAAAAACTACAGTTAAGATACATTACTGTACTACCTCTGTTACAGCTTTTATCACACTGGTATTGTAAATATTCATGTTACAGTATAATAAAAAAATGGGCGTGTGGTTCTGTGGTCTGTATCAATCACGTATTGTATGATATTACCCACCTATACCATCATCCACCCACATCTCCCATCTGCACTCTCATCCACCCACATCACCCATCTGGTACAGTAATTAATACATATTCCAGTCAGTTGTTCTGTCACTCTGTATTGATGAGCACATGAGATTGTTTCTATGCAGTAAACAGTTTTATTTTAGACATTAATACATGAGTTTTGTGTTCAAGTTTGTGAGATGAGTGTGTGAATATTAGGTTCAAGGCTTTGCATATCACCCCACTATTACTACGCCAAACTGATTTAACTTTCAATGGGCTTTTCTTGGAATGCAAAACCTTCCCTCATGCAACGTGAAGGGCTTGTGTACTTCTTTTAATGAAAATTTCAAGAAAAATTAAGTGGTTTACCTGGAAAAGCAACTCTGAGTTGTTAACACCGTAAACAAGTAAAGTGCTGTGTTCGTCAACAACCGCTAACTTGTGGCGAGAAGAACTCAGGTCCAGGCAACGTATAGCTGATGGAACCTTCAACAGGGGCACAGGGAAGGCATTATCCAGGAATATCTTAAGAACCTGAGGACATAAGATATATAAATATCAGTAAATATAAATATGCATACAGTAAATACCTTTATTATAGTATAACATCAGTAATCAGGACACTCAGAAGAATTGTATTAAGTGTTTACCAAGTGTTCGCTTCAGTGAGTCTGGATGAAAATATAACTTCTGCTAACCAGCAATATCCAGTATGGCTGGTTTTCACCTGTTTACAACATTATAAGGAAGCCTGACAATTATTATTTAACACTTAATTAACTTTTCTACAATCATACCTGTCCATTCTTGAGGCCTAGGAGGAGGCCTTCCCTGTTGGCTGGTCCACCCACCACTTTGATGTATCGTATTAAGGAATCCATCTGCCATTCACGTTCCTTTACACCGTTAAAGTTGAGGCACTGTAGACGTTTTTCCTGTGAAGTGAATTTGTTGTTTTAATCTGGAGTGACAGAAATTAGTACCATATGTGTCTAACAAGAAACATCTCTGAAGTTAAGACAGAGGATGCTAGAAACTGCCTATGCCCCCAGTAGGGTCCATCATCATTGCAATTATCCTTACCACCACCACCATCATTATCATCATCACCACCATCACCACTACCATTATGATCATCATAATCACCACCAGCATCATTGTTATTACTAGCACTGCCATCATCATAATAGTTCAGGGGGAGCTGACTACCCATCCAATAACAGTCATATTAGCTTATGGAAGACTTGTCACTTTTATGATTTATCTAAGTACAGCTAACATCTGTTATTGTGCATTGTGCCACAAAATAACAAGTCAGTACCAAGAAAATGTTCATCCAGAGAGTCAAAAAGATAACAGTGTGACCGAACTATAACAGAAATGGACCCAAGACAGCTTGAACAGGTTAAGAGTGACACTGGTATAAGCACCTTGGCAATCATGCCTTCATATATAGTACTGTACTTGTAACTACATATACAGTACTAATTTAGTCTCCATCTTCTTAAATCAAGGTAGATTTCTCAATTTGCTAAAATTAGTATCAAACTAAGAAATTAAAAAAGTTATGCCACAGTAAAAGACTTATTAACTAAAAGGCATGAAAATTACCAACTTGAGAGAGACATACAGTAAATATTCATAGCTTGGTATACCTGACAGAGAACAATGTGGTTGGTGCAGACAACAAGAAGATTACAGTCCAAGCGTTGGTTTATTTTTTCTCGCACACGATAGTGCATGTCTGATGCATCTTGAGAGTACAGTTCATAGATTATTATCCTCTCTGGCAGCTGCACCTGTAGAAAAATAATATCAATACATTATTTAAGTCAGAAACTACAATCTCCTAAATTAGCTATGGAATGACTGAAAAAGATTCTAAAGTTACAGGAAATTTATTTTTAGTTACACTACACTACCTATGGCTGGCAACACATAAAATATAGCAACACTACATTTTTAATCAGTAAAACAATTTTTAATGAAATACATCAACAACTTACAGCTAAACGGTGCTTGTAGATGGCAATTTTTTTTACCAGATCCCGGCATTTTATTCTCACTTTCTGCTCAGTGATAAGATGCTGAATAATCACATCAGTCATATTCTCTCGAAAAGCATAGCATTCTTTGTAGAGGCCATGAACAGTTGAGAAGATCAGCTGGTAATAAGCAATTGTTCCATCCTGGCATCCAATAGCCTGCAAAATATTAATTAAATTGTACCCTGTACACTGTTGAGACATTCACGTTTTTCAATGGTTTGGTTACTAAGACCCACACCAGCAAGTGCTCCCTCTTAGTTATATCTAAAGATCATTCATATGAGATTAACCCTTAAGCCCCGGGTTAGTGTGAGCTGGCAGTACTCCACACCCGGAGGTAAATGGAGAAAAATCAACTTTTCCAAAAATAATTTTTAACCTTTTTAAATGATAAAACAATAAAAAATAAGTAAGAAAAACTATATATTGACCCTTGTGAAACTTCTCTGGCCACATGGAGGGAGGGAGAGAGGAGGGGGGGAAATAAGGAGACAGTGTTGGTTTGACAGCTGACGCTCGTGGTCCTTACGCACTTAGCAGTTATTTTTAGCTCTCCTTTGTGTCCGAGGTGGCCAATAATACATATATTTACTGATCTGAATAATTATTTGCTATAAATAATTCATTCAGAATATTTTATTTGAATTATTTTTCATAAAAAGTGCTTAGCAAGATTCGTCGCCAGTCTGTGTTTGGTAGAGCAAGTAATGCATAAAATAATAATAATTCCACAAATAAATACATTTATAACATAATCTTAGCTTTGTTTTACAGTAATACTGCACTACAATACATCTACACTACTTTTAGCAATATTACTTTGATACAACATGATAAAACAGACAAACAATGAAAATGAAACAAACAAAAGTAGGTAATTATGTTCAGGAAGCTTCCCTGTGGCCGAGCGTGTGGCGTAACAGGCAAATAGTCACACTGGAACCTGATAACCTGCGCTGGGCATTTAAACAGTGGCGGGAATAGGCGGACGTTCTGGAACGTCACCCGGGGCATGCTGGTCGGATGTTCTGGAAAGTCACCCGGGGCCTAAGGGTCAAGTCATTCTTGCCATAAAATATGCTAAAACAATTGCAATTGATCAGCAAAATGTTTTACCTTTAGAGTCAGATGAGACTCAGAATAACAAGATTATGTAGATAGTACTAGAGCAGAGAGAATCCTTTTTCTAACAACCTACCACTGAGATGCTTTGAGAATAACTTTTATTATTACTGTTAGAGAGAAATTTTCTAAATATAATGCCTGCAATGAGAACTACCAGCAGATCCTTCACCACTATCATCACAGTTTTACAGCCATTTTCCATGTGATTGAGGGTTAGCTCTTTGATGTTTCTCTACAGCAGTACTTAAGGCATTCATTACCAATACAGAGGATCTAAGGGCATGATCAGCTTAATACAGTAGTTGATCTTATCTTTCTTATTATGTTAGCAGCCTTCATTATTCAGTGCTAGTTAGTACCGGAGGAAGCCGTAGAGCTCAGATAAAGCTTGCCATGTCTGGTGAGGTTGCACTAGATAACCTTTTCACATCTGTCCCAGGCCAGGGATTGAACATGGGACATAGCATTGAGAGGCAAGCACATCATCGTTGTATTTATTGTATTAAAATCCATATTGTAAACATGGAGTGACAGCTCACCACAAAGTTAGAGTCTGGTCGAGCAGCACAGCACCACACCCAAGAAGATTGTTCTCCAATGGTTCCAAGCTTCACCCCTTCTCTGGTGTACAGCAGACAAGATTTGTTTGATCCACCAACAAGTAAATATTCCCCTTTACTGAAATAATTCACACAGCACGGATCAAAGCCAAGTGGTCTCTCCTTTCCCACCTATGGAAGATAAAGATATTATTCATGTTGCAGTGTGAACACTTTCATAATTGTTATTATTCTTGAGTACAAGGAGGCAGTACATATAACAAACTTTACATTAAAGTACATTAAATATATGAAACATCTATAATTATTAGGTACAGTTATGTATTGTTTCCCTGAACCTTTCTAACATCACGTACCCTTTCCTTCTAATTCTCTACATTGCTGGCACTGCTGGACAAAATTAATTTTTGACACAGCCCCACAGGAAATAGTCACGAGAACTTAGATCAAATGAACAAGCCAGCCAAGGAATAAGTCTCCCACACCTGATCCAATTATCAGGTAACTGCTCATTCAGGAACATTGAAACTTTTGTCAACATTAAAAGTAAAAATACTTGCACGTACTCATAAAAATTCTTCATTAGTACATTTCACTTTTCACTGCAGCTTTGTTAGTTTTTCATAAATGTTTAAAATGAAGATCATCTGTAATGACCTAGTATGGCGGAAATTACTAACTACCCCTTGAAGCATTACCTGTTTTCCACTGAGAGTATAAAATGAGAGGTTTTGTCCCCAGTCTGCAACACAAAGAACATCAACTGGTTCATCCCTGAAAAGATCAAAATAATATATTACATATTGATCACTAAGAGATAATCAAGAGGGGGGAGGGGGTGTTCACAGGTACATCGATCAATTGTTTTTATGAGGTGGAAGGCTCTTTATGCTAGGTTATATCAACAGAACCTATGCCCCCAACACTCTTCATACTGTTCTTTAATATACATAGACACTGCCTATGTAATACTATCGACAGTATAAAGTGTTTTGCTTCATAATTCTAAGTATACTACAGTACTAAAGTATAAGAATAAATCTATTAAGGCTAAATATTCTTCGTCAGAAAGACACAATAGTAAAAAATGTACATTCCAAATCTGAAGAAAATTGGCTGAGGCACTATAATCATCATTACCACTGTCATCATTACAATCACTTGGCATCATGATGAGATCTTGAGAGTCACTCGGCACTATCATGAGCACCAGTGAGTCACAATAAACACATTATAAGCATATGTGCAAGCGTATGGGGAGGTAAGAACTCCTCTAGTTGCAGGTAAAACATTTAAGCTCATAAAGGTTCCATGTATGAAGGTTTACTGAAATTACAGAACTAGAGTACAAGTCAAGTTATTGTTCCATCTTGGTTGTGTCTATAAACTTGCTTGACTCCATCATCACTATATTCCTAAGATACCCAGTCTGATCAGTGGGATAAATATCTTACTGAACACAAACATATAAACATTGTCTTACTTTGATGGGTTCCATACCAGGGACCAGATGGGAGAGTTGGTGCCCCCTGGTCGTTCAATTCTCATTTTCTCTTCTCCAACCTAAAATGTATGAAACTTTTAAATTTTTGAATAACATTATGCATTATATATTACAAATGCAACTTTAAACACACAAAATTATCTTCATTTATCTAAATAATCTAGGCCTTTCATCCATCATATTAGTTTTCCAAATTCACTTGAGAAGAAATTCATTATTTTTTTTAAGGGTATTAGCCCATCCGGGCACAGGTCACTAACCCACATCGGGGCCTGGGGGGGACAGAAATAATTATTAATAATAATAATAATAATAATAATAATAATAATAATAATAATAATAATAATAATAATAATAATAATAATAATAATAATAAAAATAAAAATAATAATAATAATAATAATAATAAAAATAAAAATAAAAATAAAAATAATAATAATAATAATAATAATAATAATAATAATAATAATAATAATAATAATAATAATAATAATAATTAAGAAAAGTAAAATTTATAATAATAAAAAAAAAATAATAATAATAATTCAGACAAGTAAAATTTACAAAAAATAAATAAATAATAATAATAATAATAATAATAATAATAATAATAATAATAATAACAACAACACTAATAATAACAACACTGCAATAATAATAATAATAATAATAAAGAACCATGAAGAAATACAAAAATGAATAAAGATCAAGAGTGAGAAACAATATATGCATGCTGTGCTGTCAATGGTAAGAGAAGCAAATTAGATCCTATAATTGTGTGTAAATAAGGTAGAAAGTCAGATCAGCAACCTGGGATTTGGTCACAATTTCCGTGATGACATATGGCGGCAGTACCTCCCAGTTTGGTAGCTGCCTACTACCTACTGGTGGTACAGATTATATGGAACAATAATAATAGTTAAAAAAACAAAAATCTTATAGTAAAAATACTTCAGTGAGACTCACATTCAGAGCCAAACTCTACTTTACAGGTCAACAGTTAGTAAAAATTTGTTGGTCTTATACAGTTGCGGAAATATGTTCCTATTCCCCGTGGTAACCTGTGTCTCTAACTAGCCAACCTATCCACCAATCACGTCCATTGTTACACGACCAATACCCATTCATTCATAAACAGTGATACTGCTACTGCAATGTTGCTGTTTGGAGACACAGGTTACCACAGGGGTGTAGAAACACATTTCCGCAACTGTACCAGGTTGTAGGACTAAGGTGGCAGGGTAAAGGTCTATGCTGCCCACAACCCACCAACCCCTCTGGCATCCATGTTTGGCTGTGGCATTGGAGCATTTCATGACCTTAATTCAGTGCAGAAAAAAACAACACATTCAAGAATCATCATCATCATTGCCAACATTTCATGACCTTCCACACTTGTGTAGTTTAGCCATGGTGGCAGATCTCCATGCTGTGTGGTCTCATGGAGCCTCCTTCATCAGGTTCTTATCACCGAGGTCATTCATCTCAACTACTCCACATATCATCGTTGGCCTAACCCCAGCTCTCATCCTCTCTACACTCAAACTCGTGCATTTCTTGACCTCACTGATCTCCTCTATGGTAAAAATACATCAAAGGAGTGACAATCCCAAACACAGAAAAGAAAACATAGCAACCTTACACAGGACAGTTAACCGTACCTTAACATAACTAATGAACTACGTCTCTCTGTTTACCACATTTATTAATCAATGACAAAACCCTTTACACAACTGATGCTGTACCTTATTTCTGATGGATACAATTCCATTAGCCAGCCCAAGAGCCATATACACACCATCATTGGTCCATGCACAGCTACATATGCGACTTGTACTCTGTAACATAAAAATACATATACTGTAATATTGTATGAAGTCCCACTTAATGGCCAAAGGGTCAATTGACAAATGGCCTTTAAGATAACAAAAATATAAAATCCACTGACAGTACTTGCTTTGTTCAGGGAGCTATTTGCCTTCTCACACAGGGAAATTGTCCCCACACATTGCTGCATAAACACTCAACCATACCAGGGACTATGAAAGACGGTCCAATATAATGACTATCAAAAGCTTTAAGTCAATAAGTAAATGGACACAAAATACCTAAACTAGTTTGTTGGCACAAATCTCTCAGTCATAAACTCAGGGACATACCTTTTCCCTCCAACATGAAGAAGTCATAGGTATGTCTCTTAGCCTTAACAAAGAATTTTTAATTTCAATTCCTTGTTTTATAGCCTTTGGGTCATATGAGGGTTCACACCAGCAAACAAAGTGATGTAAGAAAGTGCAGTTGAGCTCTGGCAACACTTGTTGGCAACAGCAGACCACTGGCAACACATTAGCAACATTGGAGCTCTGGGAACACAAGTTGAACACAGAGACTGGCAGGGCAAAACACAGAATTACAGTATCATGTGATAAACCAGTTTATGAAGGAGGAATTAAAGTCAAGTGAACTAGGTCAGGGATAATCTCAGTTTACTGTACTTGTTGATTATAAATGAATACGTGCTGTAACTGGTAAAGCTACAGTTTATACTAATCCATGAGGCCTGTCTCACTCACTCATTGCTTCACTGAATCATTGTCTCAATGACTCATTGTCTCACTGACTTGCTAAGACCCATGGTTAGCAACCCCAAAGGTTATAAAAGTGGTCTACTCCTAATTATAACTGTGCAGTACCTTTCCTGAACTAAAGAATTGAAAGGATACCAAATTAATTTTAAGCCCGAGAAATTATGTTTCTAGCCTGACAGTGTTGACAAGCCTAACACTCCACTGTAGATTGACCCACAGTAGTGAAGAACTAAACACACATCATAATAATAATAATAATAATAATAATAATAATAATAATAATAATAATTTGACCAAGGACAGCTGACAAAGCCAAGAGAGGCTTGTTTCCAGTAAAGTCCTTATGCCAGCAATTATCCAAAGGTCATGAGACAGTCTTAATTGATACTACAGTACAATTAAAAAACTGACCTTGTGCTTCTGTACACTCTTTTGTTCTGGTGACCACAAGCCAAAGTCACTGAGAGCACAGGAGGCCAGCTGATGGGAGACTGGGTTGTAGGCCAAGCACTGGATGGCATCATTATGGCTAGTGGGAAACAAACAATATGAATTAGACAATGAGAAAGTCATATTTCACTGTTTCACTGACATTATTATTTTTATTTGAACTTTCTTTACTTTTTTCATTGATGACAAGCACTGTATACAATATACCTTTTTTCTGAATATATTTGGGCCAAATGTTCTGCCCAATTTTGAATAAAATAAAATCTATCTAATTGATGATTGAAAAGAGACAGAATAAAGAGTCAAAGTCATTAATATGTGTAAAGTGTACAAGTCCTATGAAAGTGATGGTCAAGTTATGTAAATTGTAGTTGTGTAGCAACAGTGTGATGATAACGTAAGTGTTGGTGTAGTTGGTGGAAGATTAGAAGTAAGTCAGTAAGACATTATCAGGAGGCTGCGATATAATATAAAGTGATCCAAGTGTTTAGAGAAACTTTTATATGGTTATGGGGGCACCAATTTTATTATTTTATTTGGCTAATACCAAATGATTTTATTTAGCTCAGGGGCGACCCCGTCCACAAGGGGTTAATGTACAAGTAGCATATTAAGAGGTGGATTTCATATGGTGTTATTTATAATTTTTATAAAATAAGTGGAAATAACTTACGAATATTTAAGAATTCCTTCTAACTTAGATGTCCATATTATAACGCTCTTATCTGCACTTCCTGATGCAAAACGTTTTCCATCTTTGCTGTAGCACACACAGTACACAGCTTCCTTGTGACCTGCAACAAACTTACTAATTATGAACTAATTAAAAAACAAAAAATTACCTGTGTTTGTACAGTACAGAATAAGCAAAAATGGAGCACCGAGATTCCATTTTACAGTCAAACATTGAAGGCAAGCAACTCATGATCATCAACATCTTCAATGCTCACTTTTTACCTGTGTTGTCTATACAGGTATACTGTAGTGTACGGTACAGTATATGCTCAAATTTATATCTGTACGGTACAAGGGGCCCCCCAAATTCGTGGATTTTTATTTCACGGTCCTCTAATATTTGCGGATGACACTCTGGATGTACCCAAGAATGTCTGTGGGTAGTTTTAAAGTTGCCGGCATTTTTGCGGCCAGAACAAGGAGCCATTCATTCTAGAGACAGTAATTTCCATTACCTGTATTGTAAATGTGTGTGTGTCTACACACACCTTTCACTTTGTTAACTGCTCCCACTGCAGTCTCCCCCTGCTCATATGTTCTCCTAGCAGTTTAAGACTTTGACATCTTTTGAACTGCCATTTTGAGAGAGCCAGCCAGGGTTGCCACCCCATCCCTAGCATAAAGGTTCCTTCTGCCGTAAAAGTTGTCCCAGCTGTCAATGAATGGGACTGATATTGACTTGCAATATCTGTCAAGACAGCCGTTGACACCAACTGCCCTTGACAACCATTCATTGCCAACTCTCCTTCTAGGCAGGACACCACATATGATAGGGATCCCTCCCTTCGACCTAATACATTCTATAGCCATCTTGAACTTATCAAGAACCTCCTCACTCCTACACCGGCCAATATCATTGCCTCCTGCACTGAGGCAGATAATGGGTTTGTTCCCATTGCCAGACAAGATTTTGTCCATCCTGTCAACTATCCTATTTTTATTTTTACTTCAAAAAGTTCTGTCCGGGTACCGTACCTGGGAATCGCCAACAATTAAGGTTTTCGTACCTTCCTTGTCAGCCTTGTCCCTGACTATGCTAACGTCCAATTCGTCTATCAAAGGACTGAAAGAGTTGGTACACTTAGCTGTTGTTGTCGTATCCTTGGTGTGTTTTTTTTTTCACCACCAGTTTAGTTGTTTCTCTCCTCACAACCTTTCATTCGCCTAAGTTTTCGTCAGACAAGGGCTTTGCTTGTCTCGTTTCTTCCTTCATCCTCGCTATCACTTCCCTTAATTTCAAGATTTCTTCCTTGGCCCTCTGAAGGGCACAGCCCTGTTCACAAGTAGCACTAACCATTACTGACAATTAATCCCCGGGAGCTAAGCCTGCCGTGACCTTTCCTCTAGTGAGGTCAGAACACAGTCATCCCTACTAAACTATACAGTGTATGGTCCTCAATCTATACAGGAACCTATAATGGGTTAGTGTGAAAGTCTTGTGGTGGACTATCTCTAGACATACAGTACACAGTAATGGCAAAGGATAAAGAACATACAGCAAAGTTAAAATAAAAACATTAAGACTGTTACCTTTGAGAGGCTGTACTAAAGCACCATCACTTGTATCATACACCAGCACACGGTTGCCAGCTGCCACTATTAACTGAGAGCCATCTGGTCTAAAGCAGAGATCATATATGCTGGAAAACAAAAATAGGGGTTAGGTTAGACGACTGGTTTCGGGTTTTTCCCCACCCAAAACCCATTTCCCAGGCTCTCCCCCTTTATGATAGGGAGGGCCAAAACGAGCAATTTCCGCCATAAATGAAGGTGAGATTGGCTTAAACCACACCAAAATACACTGGAAAAACATATTGGTCAACCCCTAAGGACTCCAAAGTAAAAATTTACCAAAGTTTTACAGTAGTTAGTTAAGGGATGATATTAATGTGTACTATTACTAAATCAAATACTACTACAGTATAGGTGAATCAAATACTTATAAACTATGAATTAAATATTTACAATCGATGAAACAAATACCTACAAACTATTATTAACTATGAATCAAATACAGACGACTCAAACACTTACGATAAACAAATAAAATACTTACAATAAAAGAAAGAATTATGAATTATGACCTAAACACCGCACTTAAACTTACTTACAAACTACCCTACAATACTTACTTACCACTGTTCTACTTTATCTCTGTCGTGAACTTTATCCACCCATGTTGGCACCGCCCTCATCCTCCTCTCTAGACAATAAAACGATAAATGTAAATGTTTGACACTTGTTCAACTTCAAGTTTCCTTCACTACCAGAGGAAGGAATTTATCTACCCCAAACAAATTTACTTTATCGGTACTTTATAATATTTTACTACTTAGTTATGCATGTAAAGTCGGAAATAAATTATGAGTTATATATTATATTCAGTTTTTTTATTTATTTTAGTATATCAATAATAAAGAAAATTTGATTCCTTAAGATGGATATATTAATGATAACATAATACATTATTATATCTTCTTTTTTCCTTAATATTGTTATTTTCATTATTATTATCTCTTACTTAAACCTTATAATTGTAAAATATTTCATGCTTAAATAACATATTTTTTTTTTGCTTATTTGATTTATTAAAATTTCCATAGTACTAAACTGTGTCCTATGTAAAAATGCTTTTATATTTATTCTCACTTTTACAACTAATGTTCACTAACTTGTAATAGGATGTTATTTATCATTTGTATTAAATATCATGAGCTGATTATCAATCGAGTTTTCATTAAATTATAAAAGTGGAAGTACAAACAGGATAATTTAAAATAATGATATATACATTAAATTAGACGTTCAAAAGCATCATAATCATTTAGTTTTTTGTCAATATTATTAAAAACTATAATATTTCAATAAATTCATCAATTTATATGCAAAATATTGTCCTTTATATATAGTATTATCCATATAAATATTTATATATGTGGTACCTTAAGTTAATGTTGCATCCACTGTTGAGTTGTTCCTCTTGGTCTAGTGAACAACAACCTGCACAACACATAATAAATTATAACACCACAACAGTAGCCTCTACAACAACAGTAAGAGCCTTATTAATAATTTGGAACATTTGAAGTTGGTTTTATTGTATTATTTATCTAAGTTTTGGTAAAAATCCATAAACTTGGTCGAGTTAGTTGCATCATAAGCTGTCATCTGTATTTGACTCACATGAAGACTTATGGAAGATTCTGTTGTGCCTGTGACCCCAATTCTAAACTTTCACTTATACTTGTGTGGTATAATGTATGGTAATTTAAAGGCAGTGGATATTTTGCCGTGACCGATGTTTCCACTAACTCTATTGGTAAATTTTTACTTAGGTTATGAGTCCCTAGGAGTTGACGAATATGGTTTCCCAGTGTATTTTGGTGTGTTTTAAACGAACCTGACCTTTAATTTTGGCGGAAATTGCTAGTTTTTACCCAACGATCCAACAATAATGGGGGAGAGCCTGGGAAATCGGGGTTTTTGGGTGGGGGAGAAAACGAAAACGAGTCATCTGACCAAACAAAACCTAACCTAACTCCTAGGGACTCCGCCCCCGGTAGGCCGAGCTTAAACTAACCTAAATGTTTCAGTAGTTAAAATCTCTGGGGTGCGCCATGTCCGAAAGTACAATACCTTAGAAGTGGAAGGACCAGGGATACGTAAGAATTGGATAGAATAATCGTCATTCTCGTAAAACTCTGCAATAAACCTGAAATAATCATAGGAGCACAAACGACAACCAACCTCCACCACTGCCATTGTGAAACGAGTCAATGAAATTAAAATCATACCCAGACTGCTTCCTTTGAAAAAAAAAAAATGTGATTGGTCGAAAAAAATTCTGCGTGATGATATCGATACCTCATTGGTCATGACTGGATGACGTCAGTCAACATTGCGCATGCGTGATGCACAGATAACATCTCCTCACAGAGATGGACTGAAAACTACTTAAAGTCAATTAAATTCAATTGTGTTGCTATTATCCATTTCCGCCATGTATATATGGGGTTCAAAATGCTCAGAATAGCTAGATCTAAAAGTTTCGGTAGTTTATAACTTTCGGGGGCGCTGTCCAAAAGTAAAATAATACCACTCTATTTTACCCTAAGTGCGCTCTGATTGGCTAATTGTCCATTACCGGTGAACAACGCGAGAACTATATTTGACCGTGACTGGCGGCATTTAGCATTTATTTCACCATGAATCGATGGTTGTGTAGCTGTAAACATACTGTACCTAACCACATTTCTGTTGTGCAGAAACTTATCATTATAAAAGAGGTGACATTTACTAGAACCTAATAGAATGTGACCTAACCAACCAAAGAAACCTACCTAACTTCTTAGCCGGGGGACAGACCCCCTATTATATTAAACAGAAAGTACTTAGCTGATCAAAGCACATTCAGGGTAAAATAGCAGTAGTAGGAACTTAGCCAGTCAGCAGTCACGGCAAAATATCCACTATGTAATTTAAATGACATTGATTCAAAGTCACAAGTAACATAAAGGCATAACCTCAGACCACCTTGATCAGGTGAGAGTATAACATTGAAAGTACCATAGTCTATAAAAGTGCCAATTAACTCAAATTCCTTTATCAGAACACCTGAAATTTTACTTAAAATCCAAGAAACTTACTGTATGTGCAATGTTCCAGTGTCATTTTGATTATTCTTGCTCATCATGGTGCTGTATAGTGGTCTTGTAGGGAAATTGATGGGTTGGAAGCAGGTTGTCAAGCAACATATTAAGATAACTGTTTAATGTTCCTCCCAAAACACTTTTGCTTTTGAACAATTTAGAAATGTTGGTTTACTTCCTGTTGACTACAGAGTAGAGCAGTTATATGTAGCTGTAGTTCTGTATTATGAGTGGTAGTGCCAAAGATTAAGATATGTTGAAATGGTTTAAAATCACCACAGTTACAGAACAAGAGCAATTAGTGACTTCTCATGTGTTACCCCAAGAGTAAACAGTTTTGGTAAGAGTTCTTTCGTGTATACAGTACTGAACTGGTGTTTGTCTATGGGTTGATCTACAATTGTACTGTACACATTCAGTGAAATACAGTAATGTCAAACTGTATATGTTTTTAGAAATCCTGTAAAACCATTTTACAGAGTGAGTTACTGTATAAGGTGCCATTAGCCATGTCCCAAGGACCACATTGAAAATAAGAATTACTAATACATGTACTGTATTATAGTTATGTGTTTTCCTCAGTAAAAGTTTAATTTGTTTGTATATACAGTGCTGTACTGTGTTAATTTTTGCTTATACCCTGTACAATAAATTAAAATAAAATCAGTCTCAATACTGTACATCTTTCTAGAGTTTTGTGAAGCCTGTACAGTATTACAAGACAGAGATGATGGCAGACTTATCAAAAGGTCCTTTAGCAAATATTTTGCAGAATAGTATTGAAAATATACTATCAGCTGAGCAGCAAGTGCAAGGTAAGTAAAGTTACATATTACTTTACTGTCATGTTGAAAAAGCCAGAAAATCATGTGTTTCTGGTTACAGACTGCAAAAGAATTAGATAGGGTAAGTTTTTTTTTTTTTTAGTTATTTTAACAGTTACTGTGACTGTCTAGATTGATAGTCATTTGCATTTTTCACCAGTAATATTTTCTTATGTTAATAAAGTTGTCTCTGTTTTACAAGATCTGAGGATGGAGCATTAAAAACAAAGATCCTTATAGAAAGATAAAAATATGTTTGAAATGTTAGATAAAATTTATTAGGGTTAGAGTTGGCCACATGCTAGTTTAACCATCTGGCCTCTTTGTTGCTAGAAGAGTATAACTAAATCTATTTACTGTATATGGTTTCAGACAAGGATGTTGCCCCCCGAGAGAATGACGATTTTGCTCTGGATAAGTTTTGGCAGGACATGAGTAAGTGTATTAACACTGTATATAATTATAGTTTTAGTGTTAAGATATTACATTCTCTTTTTTCTGACTACTGTACTGGTATATACTCTGTATAATCAGGAACCATGACAGGTAAAAAAAAAAAAAGAACTTATATTAAGGAGACACATAGTAGGGAGGTATACCTGAAGAATGGAGAATTTTAAAACGTTATCACTGCCAAGTTTCAAGTCACACAAGCTTCAGGTTGAACATTTCTCTCCATTTCTGTTATTATTGGAAGCTGGATGTTGCTACATACAGTGAAACCTCTAATTCATAAACTTCACTCTCCATATAAATCATTAGGTGGGGTTTTCACATTTAACAGTCCCTCAATATAACAGACTTTTCTCTCCTGTAGTCCGTTACATAGAGGTTTCAGAGTACAGTATTATAGTTCACTGGTCACCTGAAGATTTACCCTCCCAGTTTATTTTTTCTGAAGATTAGCCACCTTAATGCTAATTTAATCTAACCTAACTTAACTCCCCCAGGTAGCATTAGGGTGGTTGATCTTAAGGTGAAATAAGCTGGGGGTACGAATCTTCAGGTACTACAGCACTTGAATTAGAACAGACATTGGATAGTAACTTGTTCTCTTGGGTTTGGTCAGTGACAGTCTGTTCATAGAGTTGTTTGTGTGAGAACCGTTGTTTTTCCTCATTTGGCTTCCAGTACTCAGTGGGTCAGGTAAGCGTATATATAGATATTGTTTACTGAACATAAAATAAAAACTTTTGTTTCAATCTTTATAATTATATTCTACTTATTACAGATGTAATTACCCAAAAGCTCTCCTTTGAATGTACAAAAGTTGGTATTTGCTTCACCAAATCTCCAGTGCCAACACCCAGTGAAACATCCAGTAAGTTGGCTTATGGCTAATTTTATTGTAGAGTTGTATAATGACAACATTTAGTTGCATATGAAAGTAATTTTTAGTTTAACAAATTTATTGACAAAGCTTGGAGTACAGTTTGCCTATTCTGAGTACAGGTGCTCCTCTACTTACGAACGAGATACGTTCCTGAGGCTTGTTTGTAAGTCCAACTTTACTCTTGTAGATACCAAACATATTGTAAAAATTGAAAATATTATTGATATTTAGTAGTTATACCCTTTAATACAGCCTTAAAACCTGGTTCACTCTTCTCCTCCACATTAAACACCTGTTCTGGCAGGTATCCCCCCTCTGGGATGATGTTTGTATCTCTGAAAGTTTGTAAGTTGAACGTTCTTAAGTAGAGGAGCACCTGTAATTCAGTCAGGTCTTGACACTGAGGGTGGTATGAAAGTAAAAGTAGAAAACAAATCTTAGAATATTACAGTTGTTAACAAGATAACAGAATATGGCAGGACTGTGGTAGATTATGTGAACAAGATTATTGAACTCGTAATAGAACATGAAGGAATTAGGGAAGGAGGTGGGAGTGTACAGTACAGAACATGAAAACATTGTACTGTTTAGGAATAAAAACACCTGACTATCCACTGCCAGGCTGCAAGATTGCCTGAGAGCTGCCATCAGGTAATCATAACTAACCCAAACAAGTGTAGAAAAGGCCATAAATTGTTGATGGTGATGAATTAGCTGGTAGAATGATGATAATGATAACCCAATAAAAGTAGATAAGAGTAAGAGAGGACAACGAAATGAAAGAAAGAACTGGGTATCACAATTGCTTAATAAAGAATTTATTCATTGTACATGTGACTATGATATGTGTCCTGCAGGTCTGATGACTGGTGTGGAGGGAGCAGTTCTCGCCATGGTGTCTGTCTACTTCAGGCTCTCCCCTAAGTATGGCAGTGTTCTCCGTTCTAATGTTCGGCATGCAGTTGTTCGAGCCATTCAAGCTGCTCGAAACCTCTTGAAAGTTATAAAGGATGAAGGTGGTGAAGCTGTGTAAGTTATTAAACTTTCTTTGATACCTGTAGGGAGATTATCTATCAGCAGAATCTTTTGCTGGGAGGGACTCAAATTGGAGTGCATGGGTCTAGGAAGGACTTATCTTTGATGAACTATCTGCTTTAAAAGTACTCGACATAGCTTCAATTCTCCATCATCACACCAGTTAGTCTTGTATTATTTCATGAGGCAAATGCTTCATAGTTTGGGTGTTATCAGTGGGTTCACTTGACCTTCATTTTAATCTTTGCTGGTATGAAATCTTGCAGCTCACCTGGTGATGAGCCTTGGACCATAGTTGGATAATTGAAGCGTGAAATCTCCATTTTATAACTTTAGGGAAAAGACAGATAACCTGATTTTCCTTACTTCTTCACTTGGTTGGGTTCTAAATCTGTGACTTTGCTAGCTCTTGAAACAATTCTCAAATCTAGGAACAAAACAGTTTTGCCTTCTTATTGCATGTCAGAATAGTGTAGCCTGTATTTTACATGTAAGGGGTCCCCGGGTTACGAACGGGTTCTGTTCCCGAGTTCGATTGTAAGTCGGATTTGTACGTAAGTCGGAACACATGCTATATGCATACCATACTTACAAAACAATGTTTAAAATCCCACTATATCATAGCCTAAGCCCTTATATACATAAAAGATCACTTAATTTAAGACAAAAGAAGAAATAAAATGACAAAATACAGTAAATTTAAGTAAAAAATAAGTCATCAGGAAAATAAAATAATGTAAATTTCAGGTTTAACCCTGTGTGTATCGACGGGCTTTCATAAGTCAGGGACCTACTCTGCCGTACCAATATCTCACACATCATTAATCTCTTCACCTTGGCTAGAAGATGGTACCTGTATAGTATTTCTTTTTTCCCTGCTCCACAATTTTTTGTCCCAAGATCTAAAATGTCACCCAATGCCATTGATTAGTTTTAGGTAGGTAAAAGTTTGAAATACTGTATTGGTCAATTTTGAAAAGCTTGAACTAGGCCTCTTACTTTAGATAATAAATTTGTACAGTACTTAAAAATGGCATGTCCTTAAACTTTTGACAGAGCCGAAAGGTATCATCACTCAACTGGCATTGTGTGGCAGGGATGTGGATCACTTGAAGTATGTCCTCGTGATAACAAAGCAGCAGTACTGAAGGAACTGCGAGGACAGAACAGCCTTGTCTCAGATGCCTTCACTGAAATATCTGAGGTAAGGATTTTGGTTTTATATATTTTGTAGGATCAAAGTATTAAGAGAGGTCCATTAACCACCTCCCTTATAGTGTGGTATTCTGTACCTGATGATGACGATAATGATGATGGCAGACAGCTTTTCATATTTAATTACACCTTCCTAATCTTCCCATTTCTATCACATAGATATTATTTTTTAAGTTTCTAATGCAAGAGAGAAACATTATTTTCAGAGGAGCAGAAGTAGAATAGAGATTGTCAGCCAAACAGGGGTCAAGTTCCATGTTGGAGAAACCCACCTTGGCTAAACTTAATATCTTATACAGTAGAGTTAGGTGAAACAGCTGCAGATGGTAACATACAGTATTTCACTGTTAAAAATAAAATTCTTTGGGTGAAGAACAGTACATACAATGTATATGAACAACCAAAGAAGTGTCTTACTGTAGTAGTTAATCTTTGCTGCAAGAGAAAAAATTTCCATCTCTTTCATATAGACAATATCTGTAATAGTTGCCTATTTGTCTCAGATGCCTTGAGTTTCATGCATGATAATTTAAGCTTAGTGTTATTTTCTATTTTGGGATAATTTACCTTTTCTTTCTTTCTTTCTAGGCAATGGAAGGAGATGGAAGTGGGTGGAATTGTATGGGAGTAGACAGTGACGATGGCATGGAAGAAGATGAGAAGTGGACAAATGAAGACAAAGATCTTATAGGTCCCTCAGTGAACCTTATCAAGGCTGCCAAGGTTAGCGTTGTTCTGCAATAACACTGTTTGTGTTGAGCAGCTGATATAAAGAATATAGGTACTGTATATGAAGCTGAAGAAATCATGTGTTGGTCTGCAAGCTGAGATGTCAATACAAAATTTGATGAATACTGAAAAGAAAATGATGATGTTTTCAAACTACAGTACTGTACTGTACAGGGTGTCTCATAGGTCACCACCATAGGAAAATTCATGTTCTTTTCTTCTTCTTTTTTCAGATGATTGAATCAACAACTGATCCATATGTAGCAACTGGCTTTCCATACATGAATATTAATTGACTCTTTCCTCTGGTATTAATTTCTCTTCCATCTTTGTTGATTAATTATGATTAAATCAAATTAAAAACAAAGACTATTAACTTTTCAATGCTGTGTGGCCTGTGAGACACCTGTACCATATTGGATTAAGTGTCTTCACAAGACTTTTTGTTACATAAGGATTGCTAAGCAATATCATCTCTTAGTATGACAGATTTACGTAAATTGTGTGTGTGTGTGCATATAGTCCCTCACCAACTAAGATGTCTGTTCTTTTGCAAAACAATACCTACATTGTACATTTCATTAAATTTGAATCAAATACATATAAAATACCATTATATAAATTTAACAATATAAAGGGTATTTACCTTCATTGAGACGATGGTGGATGAGTATGTGGAATGAGAGGTGATTGTTATAAGGAAGAGAGGGACATAGACCCACTATCTTTTGCACTTTCCCATGTGCCACCAGCAACTATCCCATATCGTAGCCTCAGTTTTCCTAATCGTAGGAATCGAGGATTCGTTTACTCCCAGGCGTGTCCCACTGACTATCGAGCACTTCAGCTTTCTATTACTTACACTCAATGTTTGCTTAGTGCCATAGTTAAAAGCAAAATCAATGTTATTACTGTAGAAAATATAAGTAATAAATATCCAGTGTATGGAGCAATAAAATACGTCTGCTTGGTACGAAATCACAGCGCAGAGAGCATGGCGGGAGGCTGGATGCTGCACAAATGAATACATTGGAACACAGAGGGGAAAATGATGCTGTGCTAAACTGTGGATACTCGAAATTCAATACTGCGGTTGGTGAAATGATATAGGATAAAAACCATGGATACCCAAAGTCCGCGGTTGGCGAGGGACTACTGTACTGTGTTAATGGATTTCATTCTTTTTTTTTTTCATCAATTTATAAATGTTTCTGTACAATACATCAGCCCCAGTTCCCCAGAAATTATTTTGTTCTTACTGTGTATATGCTTGTACTTACTGTACTGTATGTGGTCACTTCAGATACTTTACAAGCGAGTGTTAGCAGCAGTAGAGAAGAACGGTTCATGTACAGGTGAAGACAAAGTAAAAGAACTTGACCAGCTGTATGAAGATTGTAATCTTGTGTCCAGAACTGTTGACACATTAATACTAGAACTGTATCCTCCACTAAATGTTTCTAGTATGGAAGAACAGGTAAGATGCTAATAGTTCCCTCATGGCTCCACAGTTGTCTGTATTACCTTGAACAATTCACTCATTCTCAAGCTAATTTTCTCATAGGTCAATCTCTTAATAGTTTAATAACTGCAGTAAATCATTCTTGTTAACTCATATATTTCTTTTTCATGACCACACATTTGATGTTGTGGAACTTTGCTTCTCCAAAATACATTTTTTTGACAGCCAGTCATTGCAAGATACCTGTTAAGATGCCACCACCAAATGCTCCTTCAAAGGAGGCATATTAATTACAACTTGCAGTATTGAGGAAGACTTGGTGGATATTTTTGAGGTTATGAAGTTTTACAATGGGAGTGACTAAAGCTAGTTTGTCATTTGCATCACTATGAACCTTCCTCCATTAAGGAAAGTTACTACTTCTACCTCATCAGTTAAATGCCACATTTTAATTATAAATATAATTGTTCCACCTTATCAACTTCTCTAAAAAGTGTTGTCACTTGTTTCATCCCTCAGTCATAACATAGGGTTTAATGTTCAATTGTCCATTTGTTGTTGTGTATTTAGTGGAAACTGATATACCGTACTGTTCTATATAATTATCAATTTTGTATTTATTTTTTACAGTCTCATTATCTGGCAAACTTATTGAGAACAGCCCTGAAGACATGCATCCACAGCCACATTGTCAGTGAAGCAGAACAACCACACATTGAGTTTGTATACAAGGCCATTGATCACAATCTTGATCGCATGAAAGAAAAACTGAGCGAGAAGTAAAGTTACTTATTACAATGATCTTGTTATATAATATTGGAGTGTATTTTATTGAACCTTACAGAACTTGAGCTGTGAATATATTTCTATACAGGAAGTCTCTGGGTTATGAATAGGTTACATCTTTAAAATTTTGCCTGCAAGTCAATTGTTTGTACTTTGAACTCCATTTCTCATAGATACAATGTTATACAGTAAATGGTGATTCTCGGTTACCAAGTCAGCCCATAATTAGGCTGAAATATTTTACATTTACAATTAATTATTGTAGATAATAGTGCTGTTATAATACATCCAATAAAACAAAATAGAACAATAACAAAATGGATAAGTGTTTTTAATTTACCTATGATTATTATCCTGATCGAATGATTGAAGCCAAACACAAGGCTTATGTACCTTGGTGTTTCTCCTGTCTCTCAACTCTTTATTATGTTCATTATTATCTCCAATGTTATAGCCTTTCTTTGACTCGGGTATATCACAAGAACCACTCTAATGGTATTCGGTCATGATTAGGGTCCATTTTTAGCTAACTAAATACTCGGGGCTTATACAGTGTCATGTTTTTCTGCCATAGAATTTCTTTTTCTTTTTTTTTACACATGGAATGTTTGTATGAACAATGTACAGATATTTCTAAAACAAAACAAAAATTGTTTTAGTACTGATACTAGATCATATGCCTAAGGGCTGAGAACATACGTGTACGAGCTGGACTTATGAGAATATAGTAGGTTCAAATCTGCTTTATACATCTGGTACCAGTATCTATCAGTTATTTCAAAACAATAGCACTTGTGGATGTAGCATGTGTCTTTATCTTTAGTTTTACCAGTTTTTTCAGTTTAATTTGTTTTATTTAATTGTTTTATTCTCATACTTTTATTTATGCTTTCTAAATTACTATATATATATTTCTTAAAATTAATGGCATAGAAAAACTTCAAATCTTCAAAACAACATTTCCAGTAAATACAGTACTGTACTTGTATTCCGCTTACAGAAAGGAAAAAACTAATACATTCCACTCAACAAATTGTCTTTCATTAAATAGATTGGTGTTTCTATCTTTGACTTTTTTATCAATAATGAAATATGAAGACTAGTACAGTATTGTATAGTAAGATGAATTTATGTCTGGATATTCATAACTGTGATTCTCTGAACGGTATTAAGATACTTATTGAATATTTATGTGCCTAATGTTTTTGAATGTTGTTATTGTCTATTAATAAATAAATACATATTTTTTCTTTTGTTATTTACTATCATTTATTGATCAGAAAGTAAGGGAAGAGGGAAGGGCTGTGCAGGTAAGGGGGGATTGGGTGAGGTTGTGCAGGTATGTGGAGAGGGCGAGGTTGTGCATCTAAGTGGAGATGGTGAGGTTGTGCAGCTAAGTGGAGAGGGTGAGGTTGTAGTGGATTTCTCCCCTACAAACGCTGTTTGTCGCTGAGTAGCCGACCCCACGAATTCCCCAGTGTATGCCTCGTGGTCTAGGTCAACCAGCGCCGCCCACGGAGCGGGGGTCAACTATCTACCCACGCCTACCTCCGCTATAAAAGACCTGACCTCGTGGTGACCACCCTCTTTTCTACCTACACCAACCAGCAACACCACCTCCTCCGCCTGCCTGGCGGCCCTCGCTCCCGCCGGCGAGCATGGCGACCCACAAGCTGTCCTCCTCTGAGCACCCTCACCAACCATCTCTCTCTCTACATCACGCTTGTAACCACGTTGCCACTTCCCAGTACCAAGCTGCATTGCACATCCAATACAACATGTATACAGAGAGCACATTGTGAGTTTCCTTTCTCCATCCCATCCTGAGTGTGAACCCAAACAACCCGTACCCCTATGAGGGCCACTACTGCCACCATTTATGAGGGCCTGAGCTGCCACCATTTATGAGGGCCTCCGTGTGCCAGTAACAATTCCTTTTACTCTCATACTTATTACCATTGGTAGCGTGACGAGAGGAGGCTCGTGGGTAGATGTAATGATAGTAACAAGCAATAGGGAAGAAATAACGGTAAATACTGTAGGTATATAACACTGGTCAACAGCCAAAATGGTTCACATATGAGATCATGCTCACACAACTAATTTCATATTGCTGAATTCGAATCTGATATTTGTTTTGTTCTATCAGACCAGGTTTTATAAAAAAAATCAATAGGTACAAATATTTAATATTCCATCACGTGTCGTGCAAAAGATGAGATTATCTCATGTGACTGTGCTTTCATGACTAATTTCATATTAATGAATATTAATTGGATGTTTCATTCTACCATCAGACCTACTTTCTTAAAGAATAAAAAAAATAGTAAATATAGTAACATTATCGCATCATGCAAGATACAATTTTAAACCTATCACAGATAAGCTCATAAAAAATTGTACCAAAAAACATAAGTTCAAATCCTTTATAATGACAAAATATGAAGTTCTAAAAGTGCTTCTGAACTTTACTCTTTCTCTTGTACAGCTTGCTCTCTTCTCATTGCAGTGTCCAGCAATAGTCGCCCATCATGTTAGGACTGAATTGTCCCTGATATCTGCTCTCCATTATGGTGATATCTTGATGAAATCTTTCGCCGTGTTCATCACTAACGTCTCCAAGGTTACCTGGGAAAAATTCAATATGAGAGTGGAAAAAATGCAATTTCAAGGACATCCTTGCTCCCAATGCATGATAATTCTGAAGCATGGTTGTTACGATTTCTTTGTAGTTGTCAGCACGATAGTTTCCAAGAAAATTCTTTGACACATTGACAAATGATTCCCATGCTTTTTTCTCCAGTGGGTTCAATGTTTTGGTGAATTCGCTATCATTAACTAGTATACGAATTTGTGGTCCATTCAAGACACCTGCTTTCAACTTGGCTTCGGAAACCACACCACCTAGTTTCTGAGATAAGTATAGAGTCCCAGCACCGAATTGATCCATAGCTTTGATGAAATTTTTAGCCAAACCGAGCTTTAGATGCAGTGGAGGCAAAAATATCTTTTCTGGATCTACAAGCGGATTGTGAGCACAGTTAAACCTTCCAGGCGCATCTCTTGGTCTTGTCGGCCAATCCTTTCTCACATAGTGCTCTGCATCAGCTCTGCTGTTCCACAAGCACAAAAAGCACATGTGCTTTGTGTAGCCACTCTGAAGGCCCAGTAGTAAACTGATGACTTTGAGATTGCCACATATCTTCCACTGGTGTTTCTCATACTCTATAGCGGCCAACAGAATTTTCATTGTTTCATAGCTCTCAGTCATTTTTGTTGCGTGTGCTATTGGGACAGATGGAAGCCGATTGCCATTGTGTAAAAGAACAGCTTTCAGAGAGTCTTTTCCTGGGTCTATAAACAGCTTCCAATCCTCTGTCTTGTATGTTTCAGATTTTGCAGAGTTGTTGCATGAGAGATACTGCGTCCTCGCAATAACAAAGGTTGTTTGCCATCTTGAAAAATGCAGACAGCTGTCTATGTCGGTAACGCGCTGTAGTGATATGCACTCAATCTTCTAGCAGGTTACGCTGCTTTAGTCTGGATCCCAAAACTTCAGCCTTTTCTTTTGACAAGTTTAGGTCCCTAATGAGCTCATGAAGCGCTTCTTGAGTAAATAGTTTAGGCCTGGTATTTTCAGAGTCATCCTGGTAGTTGTTTTCCATTGAGGTAGAGGTAGAATCGGAATCACTCAATTCTTGTTCAGTCGGTGGATTTGGGACTGGAAGTTTAGCACTGTGCGGTACTGGTCGGATTGCAGAAGCAATATTGGGGTACTGTACCTTGCCTCGTGTCTTGATTTTTATTCCCTTAATATTTGTGAGACAAAAGTAGCAGTCACTACTGTGGTCTTTAGGTTCACGCCATATCATTGGTACAGCAAACCGCATTCCTGAACTTCGTTTACCACACATCCACTCGCTCAGGTGGTTAACACAAGGCTTACAGGCTACATGAGGTGCCCATTTCTTGTCTTGGTCACCCAAATGACATTTGAAGTAACTTTTGTAGTTCAGTCGAACAGCTTTTGTGATTGGTTTCTTGAGGCTACCAGGAGTGAAGGCACCACATATGTAGCAAAAACTGTCAGCACCGTTCACACACTTGCGACGTTCCATGTTTTGTTAATTTCAGAGTAATTACAAATCATGCAGGTGTAGATATGCAATATCATGAATCAGCAAACTGAAACAAACAAAAAAGCACAAATCAGGACAAAATAATTGCATAAGTGGAGCCAATGAGCATATAAATTACTGTATGAATAGCATGGTACACTAAATATATAGATATGCTGGTTCTGGAAAACTGAGCCTGATACAGCTACACGAATGTCATAATTGAGTTCAGCACATACAATTACACTAGAATCAGACTGTTTTGATCCAGAACCATGAGAATTTTTTTTTTATGTTGACCAGTGATAGACACAATATACAAATACAAAATTTATTTAAACATTAATATGAAATTAGGAGAAAGCATTTATTTGTACCAACAGACGAAATCTAGTACTAGGCCCTCAGGCTCAACACACTCACACCACTACTGGGTGGACATACTCAATAACACTTCCAACCCTACTGAGTGGACATACTCAATAACACACAACTCTTATAGTCACTTAGCACCATAAAGACCAGGACAACTGCCACTACCACCTTCAGTCGTCAGGAGTGATACTCAAGCAACAGCCATGGGGTCCAGCCACCATGGGGTACTTTCCGACGAACTCTAGAGATCCCAGTGGATTAATTCCACCACACAAATAGCCCTACTGAGTTAGACACTCATCCACCAATGATGGGGGCTGGTAGTGGTGTGTGGCTTGGTGATCCGGGGGCACCTCGCAGGCCGAGCGTTAGGGCCAAACGAGCCAGCTATGGGGGCTATAGGTAGTCTGAAGTGTCTGACGGCCGGGTCTCACGAAGGTAACTGATCCTACTGGACCTCGGACATCTCCCCAGACATAGTGGATACAACATCCACGCTACAGACACGGCCTAGGCTGCGTTAGGGACCTGTATGGATGAAGGGACGGGCACTCACTAACAGTGACAACAACATCACGTTTCAGGGGACGTTAAAGACGTAAATATGACTTCACTCAGAGCATATCAACTACGTTACTGTAACACTTGCACAATCAACTATTAATTGGGTCAAATCACTTAAAAGGGCGAATTACAACACAGAGTGGAATGGCACACCTGTATGGATGAAGGGACGGGCACTCACTAACGGTAGAATAGGCCAGGGAGTCCACCTACTCCTATTCCGATGAATTAATTTACTGTACACTCTGACGTTGAAACTGAGACTATGAACTCAGTTTCATTCCCTACTATTATCTTCACTAACAATGCTCTGACTCAGCTATCAAAAGCAAAATTCTCTACAAACAAAGACGGGGAAACAGAGAAAACGGGGGACGCTTCCACTGGGGGACTCAGAAGGTTTTGTGGACGTTTGAGCCTAATATGAATCCTTAAGGTCTTCAGGTTAGCCATTATCACGATCATGACACCCCACAAGGTTGTGCAGGAGAGAGAAAGAGGGGAGGAGGTAGGAAATAATTGACAGGAGAAAGTAGAAAAGGATAAGACTAAAGAGGATTTATAAAAGAAATGGAATGATAACTTGAATGAAAAGGGAAAAAAAGGAAATAGTCATTGATGATTCTTTTCTCTGAATCAAATCTGAATCTTGAAGATGTTGTTAGTGTGGAAAAAGTGGCGGTGTAAACACTCAATAGAGTATAAGTGGTAAATAGACTCAGAACAGGACAAGGGAGAGATGTAAAAAGGTTTAGAATAGGGCAAGGTAGAGGTGCAAACAGAATCGGACCAGATAGACTGATTGTTGTGTAAACATGCAGCGGATTGTTTCATACTATGATAGAAGTTAAAACCGACGGTAATATAAAAAAAAACCATTTTAAGCTTAATTTACATTTTTACATAATGAATATGGTATGGAATTAATCAGTGATGTCCGGTGAGTTAATTGTAATAACCCAACAACCAACTATAAATAACCCTGTAGTCGCTTTGTCTAATGACGTCACATGTAAACAGAGTGTTGATTACAAGTTACAACTCGTGCAATGAACAACTGTTACCTGTGAGGATAATAAATAGGTCAGGTAATACTTGATGAGAGTTGTTAGGCCTTACCATCTGCCTTAACAACATAAGAATGGAGGAAACTGCAGCGGGCCTATTCGCCCATACTAGGCAGCCCCATTGGTAAATTTTTACAAGTTGTCCATAATGGTTTTGGACATGAAACTTACACGTTTTTCCTATGGGTTTTGATGTGTCTGTGAACGATTCTGACCTTCATTTCTGTCGCAAATGACTCGTTTATGAGTTTGACAATCTTGGGGGGACCCATGGGAAATCTGGGTTTTTGGGTGGGGGTAGAGCAAAAACGAGTGACATAATATATAAATGACCAAAGTTGGCTCGGCTTTTCTGTTCTGATACCCGAAAAGTAAAAAAGAGTCAAACCTAACCTAACCTCGGAGACGTTACTAAAAAAACTTTTGGTATTATTTTACTTTCGGACAGCGCCCCCGAAAGTTATAAACTACCGAAACATTTAAATCTCGTTATTCTGAGCATTTTGAACCCCATATATACATGGCGGAAATGGATAATAGTGACACAATTGAATTTAATTGATTTTAAGTAGTTTTCAGTCTTCGTCTGTGAGGAGGAGTTATCGGTGCATTACGCATGCAGAATATTGACTGACGTCATCCAGTCATAACCAATGAGATATCGATATCTTCACGCAAATTTGTTTCAATCAATCACATTGGATTTTTTTCAAAGGAAGCTATAGTTTAGTTTAACAAACTTATTGACAAAGCTTGGAGTACAGTTTGCCTATTCTGGGTAATTTCATTGACCAGTCTCACAATGGCCATGGTAGAGGTTGGTTGTCGTCTGTGCTCCTACGATTATTTTAAGTTTATTACCGAGTTTTACGAGAGGGACGATCATTCTATCCAATTCTTACGTATCCCTGGTCCATCCACTTCTAACTAAGGTATTGTACTTTTGGACATGGCGCACCCCAAAGTTTTTAACTACTGAAACATTTAGGTTAGTTTAAGCTAGGCTTACCAGGGGTCCGGGTGATGGAGCCCCCGGCTAGGGGTCAGGTTAGGCCTACTGGGGGTTCGGAGGCGGAGCCCCTGGCTAGGAGCTAGGTTAGGTTTTGTGAGGTTAGATGAATCGTTTTTGGTTTTCTCCCCCACCAAAAAAAAAAAAAATTTCCCAGGCTCTCCCCCATTATTGTTAGGGTGGGGAGCAAAAACTATCAATTTCTGCCAAAAATGAAGGTCAGATTCATTTAAAACACATCACAATACACTGGAAAAACATATTGGTCAACCCCTAGGGACTCATGTCCTAAAGTAAAAATTTACCAAACTTTTTAGAAATGAAGATATATACTGTAGAACTGGACCCAAACATATTAAGGGACATTATGGGCAACTTGCAAAAAAATATTGCCTCGTTTACACCCAACCCCTATCGCTCATATATCCAAAAAACCTATATTTGAAGCTACCCAGCATGTTCGAGTTAATGGAGAAGTTCGGTAACTTGTTCCACTCGCCCACTACTCTATTTCCAACCCAGTGTTTACCTATCTCGCTCCTAAATTTAAATTTGTTTAATTTTAAACCATTGCTACGAGTTCACTCCTGGTTTGATTATTAAGTACCTTTGTTACAACACCTTTGTTTAACCCTGACTTCCATTTATACACCTCGATCATATTGCCCCTCACTCTACGTCTCTTGAGTGAGTGCAAATTAAGATGTTTGAATCTGTGTCTGTACTCAAGGTTCTTAATGCCCAGAATTAGTCTTCTAATCCTCCTCTTAATGTTTTCAAGGGATTTTATGTCCATTCTGTAGTACGGTGACCAGAACTGAACGCTTAATCCAAGCGATGTCTCACAAGTGCAAGATATAGTTTTTAAGATAACCTCACTAGTCCTGCAACTAACACTCCTTTGTATGACCCCAAGTGCTTTGTTAGCCTTGTTTCAAGAAAATATGCATTGTTGTCTTGGTTTAAGATTCCTACTTATCATTACTCCTAAATCTTTCTTGCAGTCGGATTTCTCTATAACAATATTGTTCATCTGATATCTATTTTCTCTGTTTACCTCTCTTAGACTAAGTACTTTACATTTGTCCACTGTGAGCTCTTTCAAGATTAGACTTGTCAAAACTGGTAGAGGTATGGATACATTCTAGAGTCAGTACATGCCCAGTACTTGCTAACATTACGTAACAGAGACATGACCCACCACCCAAGCGGCTAACAAGCCGATCATTGGCACAGAACCTGACCGAAACTAACCAAACCTACCTAACTACCTAATTGGAGGCTCTGCCCTCAGACCCTACTGCATATTAAACAGAAAGAAGTTACTTTGATATCTGGTACAAATGAAAGCAACTTTCTTGTAGTGGCATGGTGTAATTTTACTCTCTTTTTTTTTGGGGGGGGGATGTAAGTCAATTGGTTGTTGCACTGAAACACATATTTTATCTTCACATTTGAACACTTGCATTCCCTGTGACACGCCGCCATTGCTTGTAAATGTTTACAAAGACCAGATTCATAATTTACTAGTTAAAAAACAGACGACAACTTGCTGTACCACAAGAGAATATTCAGCGTAATATTTATGGTAAAAAAATTATTTCATGTGCAAAGTACGTACAGACATGAAATTACTACCTTATGATCAGTTTTTTGCCACTTTTTACTCCATAATTTCCCTCAACTTTTATGCCCTGCTCACTACTTGATCATATACTGTATAGGGGAAAACGAAAAAATAAATAAAAAATTAAAAGAAAAAGTTGTATAATTTTTATTATACTTACTATCATCCAAAGAACACCTGTGGAAAATATGCAAGAATTCTATAAACTCCTTCGGTTAGGAAGTTACATAAGGGTAGGTCAGGTTCAGTTAAAGTTACGTGCATAGTTGTTTCCATTTTTGTGGTTAATACCATGCAAATAACATCTTCAGAAAGTTTGGTGCAATACCGTGAAGACCTTCGGATGCTAACTGTCTTCACCTTTACCGAAATTGTTCCCCCACAAAAGATAAAACTTTTTCTTACCTCGAGGAACAATACATGCAGTACAGTACCTGTACTGTACATATACCAAGTAGCTACTTAATGTTTGGGTGAAGCTCAAGTTTAGGTTGGTTAACTTAGGTTAGGTAGGTTAGTTTGGTTCATTTTATGAACAATAAATTTTTTGATGTATCAGTATGTAATACAGGTACTTCAGAAATTTCCCAGTCTTGCCAAATGTCAACAACCATGTTAAATACAAGATTATCACACATTAAAAAATTGCTTACACTTTTGCATGAACCAACAGCTCGAGGATATTGCACCCCAGAAGATAAAGTGATTTCTTACCTCCTGAAAAGGTAAAAAAGTGGATGAAGAATACAAATCTCATGATAACTGTATCAGCTTTACAAGTTTTTCCCTCATGATGATTCATCTGGATGATCATCTGGAAAGGAATTATCCCAAGTGGGATGTAATGAACCGTACTTGCATGGGTTATAAGCGTAATAGTTCTAATGACAAGTTCAGCCAAATATCAATATTGTTAAGAATTCTTATACATATAAGGTCTTCTTCACTCAGTTTGGGAACATGGCTGCAGCAGCCTCTACTATATCTGGAACCTCAGCCATGGCTTCAGCAGCAGTAAGCAGTAGTAGTTCCAGCCCAGCATTGAGTTTCCGCATATTGTCTGAGTGTAGCAAGTCGAAGGCAAGAACAAGCCTCATGAAGTTACCTCATTACACTGTTGAACTACCAATGTTTATGCCAGTTGGGACCCAGGTGAGATGTAAAATAAAGTTTGCTGTTAATGAAATGAGAGTAATGCTCTGGAGCAGGGGTCCAGGTTACAGTACAGTAAACCTTTCCTATTCATGGGTTTGTGATTCGCGATTTTGACTATTCACGGTAAGTAGATGGTGACTAGCTTACGAGCCTGACCACAGCACAACGGGTCATCCCCACACACCCACAGCATCTCCTCTCACTCCTCTCCCTTTGTTTGCGCTCAACCAATACCTGCGACACAGCATCTCTTGTGTTGTACTGAAAACTTTATTGTTTCTGTGTGAAATGGCCCTTAAAAGACTGACTAGTGTTAGTGATCCTAATGGAGTGAAACATTTAAGCCTCAAAGCCAAGAGGAAACAACTACCAATCGGGAAAGAACCAACCGCTCGCCCAGCCAATTCGTTTCTCTCACCTACTCAGTCAGCTGCTGCCACTGCTCCACCACCCACCTCCCCACCCCACCACACGCCACCCCAGCATCTGCCTCCCCATCACCCACCTCCCCCCACACGCCTCTCCACCAACCACCACTGCATCAACCTCTTCCAACAGTGATCCTAATTATCTCCCTATGCTTCCGTAACAAGATTTCATTCTACTGTACAGTACACTTCATCAAGCTCGAAACTTTCACATAAGAAGGAGAGTAATACTGGTGACTTAAGTTTCTCATACACAGTATATAGGTATGCAGTACAGTATTGCACTAAGGAAGTATTGCACAGTATAAGTTGCTATTCATGGTTTTGCCAATTTGTGCCATTCCTTGGTACCTAACCCTTGCAAATAGCAAGAGTTTACTGTATACAGTATTCTTTCTGAAAAAAATAAATTATCCTCTGAAAATTTGCTTCTAAAGTTACTAATTAACCCAGACCCCTGACCCAGAGTACAGTACAGTATTACCAAAGTGAGGTTAGTCACAGTTACATAACGTGTCCTTAGCATTTGCTATATCTTTTTACAACTGAAGAGGCAGATGAAACACAAGAGTTGTTTTCCACAGGGCACAATGAAAGGTCTTCTGCCAGGACAAGTGAAAGATGCCAAGGCTCAAATCATCCTGGGAAACACATACCACCTGGGTACTCGTCCGGTAGGTTTTGTGATTGTTGCATCAAAGACGCTTTTTGGTCTTATTGGAGAAGTTAACTGGAACTTTTTTGTGTGCAGTACAATACAGTACCTGTATTTGTAAACTGTGTAATGCTACAGTTTTTAGATGGAAGAGATCAAGGTTGTCATGAGTGAACTAACATGAAGTGTTATGTAGCAATGTGTTGGTGAAAGATTCTGTTAATTGTGCATGTATGCATGCATGTGTGTGTGAATGCATGTATGTAAGTGGATGTGTGTGTGTGTGTGTGTGTTGAGAATATGATCAGTTGTGTAGATTTTTTTATTGTGTTTAGCCTTGTTTTAATCTACAGTATATATATATATATATATATATATATATATATATATATATATATATATATATATATATATATATATATATATATATATATATATATATATATATATATATATATATATATATACTGATAACCACAAGGAAAGAAGAAAACACGAAGTTCCCAAGCGCTTTCGTGTAATTCACATCTTCAGGGGTGAGTACAGACTAAAGAGAAATACAAAACAAGGTGTATATATACAGAGGAGGGTGAGACCAGGTCCACAATGGTGTATACATGTATGTATACCTAATACCTACAGTGATTTACTTGCATATATATATATATATATATATATATATATATATATATATATATATATATATATATATATATATATATATATATATATATATATATATATATATATACTTCATTTTTAGTCCATATAACACGCGGACTTTGAACATATAATCAACGACCTCACCAGCAAGGAATCGAACCCTCGACCTACTGGGTGTGACTAGGGAACGCTTACCGGCTAGGCCACAAGGACACTAAAAGCAGTTCTAGACTCTGTTATATTTCACACAAAGCCTGTTCATCGAGCTGATGGCGCCGTGAACCTCATTGGGAAACTGCCCGTGCCTCTTATGTGGTGTCAGTAGCATTTTACCGAATCCAGCTGGTATGAAACGCGAGGTACATATATATACTTCATTTTTAGTCCATATAACACGCGGACTTTGATTTTATATATATATATATATATATATATATATATATATATATATATATATATATATATATATATATATATATATATATATATATATATATATATATTACCTCACACCCCATATTTTCTCTTTCCTTTCATTAAGGTCGTGTATCCTTGATCCATTCCCAACAATATGAGAGGATTAACCCTTAGGCCCAGGGTGACGTTCCAGAATGTCCAACCAGCGCACCCTGGGTGACATTCCAAAACGTCTGGCTATTTTCCCGCCTATTTTTTATTTTTATTATTTTGTATTTTATTTTTTTATTTTTATTTTTTATTTATTTATTTATTTTTTTTTTTGGGAAAAGTTTATTTTTTCTTGATTTATCCCGCACGGAGGTATTACCAGCAGCACCCTAACCCTGGGCTTAAGGGTTAAAGTCAATTGATGGATACTTGTAGTCAAGTATGGTTGCTGTATCCTTGCTTGTTCTTAGTCACGCTGTCTTCATTGTGAGTAGATGACTTAAAATGTACAGTACTGGATATCAGTTGTTATAAGACCTACAGGAGTGTGAAACATGGCAGCGAGAAGATATGGTTGTGAAGGATGATTACAACACCCAGCTGAGGCATTTTAACATTTTTACAGCTTCACCTTTATCATTTATATTTTTCTCCCCCAATCAGTGAAGTTGGGAAATATGGAAATGGGTTTGTTATTCGGTCCATCCATCCACCTGTTCATAGAAGTTTTATTTTATACAACAATGTTGTGGTTAGTGCGACAACATGCTGTTCAATTGGCTTGAAAAAGAAAAGGATAGTTAGTGCTGTTGAGTAAACCTTGTTATACTCTTACAGGGGAAGGATCTTCTAAATGATATTGGTGGTCTTCACAAGTTCATGCAGTGGGACAGAGCTCTGTTGACAGACTCTGGAGGCTTCCAGATGGTCTCCCTCTTAGATCTGGCTGAAATCACTGAAGAAGGTGTCAAATTTAAATCTCCATATGATGGTTAGTATTTTAGGATCTTATGAAGAGTGGAACCCTTAGCTTATTTTACCAGATGATTAAACACCATCATGCAACCTAGAGGGTTAGGTTAAATTTTATTAGTTTAAGTTAGGTTATATTAGGTTAAGTTTGGTTGCCTTCCACATGTTAAATGGACAAATTATGAAAAAAATACAATTACTGTACTGTACAGGTCGTCAGGTTCAATCTCTTACATACGATCTTTCTTGTCATATTTTAAATGACATTTCTGAAAATTGGGATTTTTGTGTGGAATAGTTTGTTGAGCAGGAATATAGTTGCTGCTCCATAATGAGATATTTTTGTCTTAAGGAATTCAGTGTTGTAATAGAAACATATTGATGTAACTTAAGTGGGTTACCTTCATTTATGCCAAGTGTTAATACCTGTATACTGTATTAATTTCTACTATATACTGTACTGGTAGGATCAGAATGTATGTTGACACCGGAGGAAAGTATAAACATACAAAATGCAATTGGAGCGGACATCATGATGCAGCTTGATGATGTGGTGGACGTGAGGGAGAAGGAATACGAACGATTCAAGACGGCAACATACAGGTACAGGCTAGCACCTGTCATTCATTTACAGCTGAAGCGCCAAATTTAAAAAGCTGAGAAAAACGCGCTTAAAGTTTTTTGAAGCTCAAACAACCATAACTTTGTTGTTTTTTAAGCTAGAGGGTTATTTTTTTTTATCTTGCAGCTCAATCCCTCTCCTAGCAAACTGTAAAAACTGGAAGTTAGTTCTGTGAATAGTTATTATTTTATCGTGAGTTGAATGAGAATAACTACCCGTGATGTACAGTTGTTTGATCTTCAAACCAACAATAATAGTGTTTTTCTGCAAAATTTTATTTTGATTGTGGCCTAATACTGTAAAACAAGCTAATGATCACCAAAAACAGTACTCGTCTTCCCCTAAAAAAAAAATAATAATAAAAAACTCATTTGCCTATCAGTATTTATCTTTCCATCCCTATTATTAGCCAAAGATTTATAATATTGTTAAGTATGTTACTGTGTAATAATAAGGAAACACCACTACACTCATCCCTCCACCATTAACGTTTCCCCTCCCCCCTTCCCAACGTACTTAACATACGAATACAAAGGCGGAGAAAGTTTGCATAATTTTTGGTAAAAAACAATATTATGACAATAGTATTACAATCTTACTTTGTTAATTTCCTTCATTTTATTATCCCTGAAGATGATAGCAACTTGAAGTTACGTAAATCCTGAGGAGTGCGTATAACTTTAATGGCCTCGTCATAATCAATCACGTACTGATCAAAGTCTTTCTCTGCACTCTCTAAAAATCGTCACACAGATTCTTCATCAACTAATTATTGATGCCAGCAACAGTTCAGTTCCATTATAAGACTGAGTTATGGGCTCACTTTCATCACTATCAAGGTCAATACATGTCTCGTCACTGTCCACTTCTACCTCCTCACAGTCTGTATGTTCTTTTTGTGATACATTGGTGTCACTGTTTGTTTACCATTAGACTCACTTTGATTTTCATCTTCACTTTCATTGACATTATTGCAGTCAGCGCATGTCACATAACTCTGTCCCGGATCACAGTGCAAAAGGGTCTTGGGATGCATAGCAGTCACTTTTTGTATTATGAGTATACTCAGTTTCATCTATTTCAAACTCACTTTCACTGTCATTATCATCGTCAATGCATGCCACATTGTCTTTTAACTCGTCATAGTCGGCAAAAAGATCTTTGAATGCTTTGTAGCACACTAAAAAGTAATTCTGTTGATTCAAAGTGTTATTGTCATTATGATAATCACTTTCATCATGCTGTGAGTCACTTTCATTGTTGACAGGTAAATCATTAGTCTCTAAAAAGATCTTCCGATGGTTCATAACGTGATGGATGTTTTTTTCTGCAATCATGCACGTCACCTGCACCACCAAACAGTGGCACTTGTATCACCATAATCAACACTAAATTCACCACCAAAATCACTATCACCAAGCATTACTGGGGTGTCCACGTGAGCACTGGTGTCAAACCCACGCTCAGGAATAATGGGCTCCTGAACCCACAACAGAAGGCCTGGCCTCACTCGAATTTTGCTCTAATATTGGGCAGATATTGCACAGCACATCTCACCCGTGGGACACGAATAACGTCAATGTTACGCCGAAAAGTTATCAAAAATAGCAGTAGAACGTACACTTAACCTTCTGATGCTAAAATACGCGCCAAAACTAAGGAGGAGGCAGCATCTGGGCGCTCGGATTGGCCAAGGAGCTGTAACGTAGCAAGGGGAAATCCATTGTGATTGGCTGCCTCAGGGGTTATGGTCCAAGGGAGGCGTGCTGTCGTTGGCTCACGCTTCTCTCGCTCTGAACGGGACATTGCCATTTTCTGGAACTGAGCGCACAGCCAGATACGTAGCTCCTGGCCTGAGGCAAAATCACACCTTATTTTTGAAGGACTTTTTACCATATTTCTATTCTAGCTAGAGGGTTACATCCAATGCCAACATGTAGAGGAAGGGTGAAAATAGTGATATCCATCAAAAAAAGCATTTTGGCCAGGTGTCGCTTCACCCCCTTCTGATGCTGAGCGTCTCATATATACAATATATTTGAAATAGCATTACTGTACAGTGGTCCCTTGATTAACGAACACAATTGGTTCCACAGAGTCGGTTGCTAACCGAAAATTTTGTTAACTGAATCTATTATTTCAATGGGATACAGGTATTGGGTAATTGGTTCCAACTCGCAGAAAAAGTATACAGTACATACAAAGTACTGTATACCGGTAATAGAATTGACGAAACATTAAATATAAACTAAATACAGTACTGTACTGTACAGTATACCGTACAATAATAAATAAAAAAACAATTGAATACTGTATTTTAACTTACTTTGAGGTGTATATGTTGTATTCCTGGCAACTTTGTTTACATATCAAACAGCTGATTGTAGAGGCAGTCGATGATGACATGCCATATTCTTTACAGAGTGCATTGGTTCTAATGCCTTCTTCATGTTTCATAATAATTTCTGCATTGTATATTATCAATATGTTAACTTAATTTCAGAATGACCAATAATTTTAATGTAAAAATGTTCAAGAGACCAACAAACTCGATGTTCACTACACTGTAAACAAAGTTAAACTGAGAAGCGTTGGTTGGTGATTCGATCAGCTGAAGGGCATACAAAAACTGTTCCCTGTGCTCTATATATTACCAATATATTAACTAAATTTCAGAATGACCAATAATTTTAATATAAAAAATGCAAAAATATTCAAGAGCACAACTTTCTTGATATTTACTTCACTGGAACGAATGTAAACATAGAACCAATTACTGTATTGGCAGACTAGCTGATCAGCTGATGCGCACAATAAAGCGTGTTTCTCGTAAGGCTGTTGATAATCAAAGTTTTGTTCGTTAATGGAACTGAAAATCCTTATGGCAGCTAATTCGTTAACCGAAATTTCGTTAATTGAACCGTTCGTTAATCGAGGGACCACTGTATTCTGTTTTATTTTATTTTCAGAACCACTCGTTGGCTTGATCGCTGCATGAAGGCTAATAAAAATCCTGATCGACAAAACTTGTTTCCAATCATCCAGGGAGGACTCTTTCCAGACCTTCGAAAGATCTCACTCGAACAACTGATTGCTCGAGATGCTCCAGGCTATGCCATTGGAGGCCTCAGGTACAGAGACTGTGATTATGAGCATAAAGGTATAGTAGGGTTATTTTCTTGGATGATAATAATGATGTACAGGAGTTGTTGCATGAAGTGATGAGGATTCATATGTTAATTATTTTATTGTATTGTTTTCTCTCTAAATTACAGGTTAAAAAAAATAAGTAGAAAATTATATACTGTATTCACATTATCTGCAATCCTTAAGTGTATGCTGATAGTTTCAGAACTCTGCCCAAAAATAAAGATATACAGGCATGGAAAACTGCTGTAAAACATTGATTATGGTGATGACGATCCTTAATAAGTTTGCCCTGAACTACTTTATCCCAATATACTCATTACTGTAATATAGCAAGGTTTACATTAGGTAGTGGTAGTACTGTATAGTATATAAAGTGAAGCCTTTGTCACTATAGTAAGTCACAATTCTTAAAAAAAAAAAATTTCACTTTTCTTTTCAGCGGAGGAGAAGAGAAGGACAAATTCTGGCCGACAGTTCACCTGTGTACAGATCATCTTCCAAAGAATAAACCTCGGTACTGTATGGGTGTTGGGTTTGCTGTGGATCTTGTTGTGTGCTGTGCTCTCGGAGTTGACATGTTTGACTGTGTTTTTCCCACCCGAACTGCTGTAAGTTTATTATTGTTTTTTTTAAAAGAACAAATTGAAGGAAATACAGTACAGGTACAATAATGTGATTAATATTGTAGCATCGCCAGGATTTGTTCTCTGGCAATGAAATTAATGTTTGTTAAAATATTAATTGTAGAGCTGGATATTGTTGAGAACTAATTTTTTATCAGGATAATTTTGAATATTTATAACATTTTGTATGGTACTTTGTTCCATTAAAATGGATATAGTATTGCATAAATCAAGGTTAAAAAAAATGGATTCCACGTTTGTCCACAACCAGAGACATTCATCTCCCCTTTCTGAAACATGTGTTAAGCTGCTCACCCTGATGCTCTGGTGGCAGTTGTCAAGGTAAAGATAGATAGATACCTGTCAAACCTCTTTTATCATGTTTTCTCTTACAGGTACCGTACATACAGTATTCTAAATGTGTTATAATTATTTCAAGGGTCATTACCCCAGTCATTCACACTGTAATTACTCAAATTAAATTTTTTTAAACCCAGATCCTTGACCAGTAAGTCTTATACAGGTTTTACCTCTCTAGTCCGGCAACCTTGGGACCTGACCGGTGTCGGACCATGGAAATTGTCGGACCATGGAAATTCACCCTTTTCCTGGATAGATAGTGACTTGTGCTTATGCCTGGAAGCACTAGCACCACTTTCTCTGCGTCATGGTCTCTTTGAAGACATATTGAAGGGTTAAATGTCGTATAGTAGCTTCTCAAATTTCGCGAGTTTTTATTTCTTAACGTATTTTATTGGAACACAAAAAAATAAATAAATAAAAATTTTGACGGCGGAAACTTGAATTTCGACGGGTTTGAATGGCCCGCCAACGTGCAGACGACGTGCATAATCGTGTAAACAGCGTCATTTCTCTTATGTACAAAAGATTCATTATTGTTTATTACTGAATGTCTTTTTTATTGAATTAATGTTTATGTGTGCAAAATGAGCAATACAATTCATTAATAATACGTAGAATATTAAAACACACGAGGAAATGACACAGCATTGTTTTCGTTGATTACAAAACCAGTGACTGACTGGTTCTACATATAAAACTGAAGAAAATAAGACCTTGGTTGTAGCTGTAGTAAAATTAATGTGGTTGTTTTAAGTAATGTTATTTAATGTTAATAAATGGAACAATAGAAGTAGCTAACGATAATGGTAAAGAAAAAGAGAGATCGCATATGTAAGTGCGCATGCGCACACGTGAAAACATATCGTCATTACTTTACATAAGAATATGAAAGCAACACTTATTTACTGTTCATATATATTTTAATTAATGTTTCTGAATTTGTTTTTATTGAATTAATGTACGTGTGTGCAAAATTAACAATACAATTTATTAATAATACGTGGAATATTAGAGGAGACGAGACGGCTGCCGGCATTGTTTATGTTAAAGCTTACGAAACCAGTGACTGATTGGTTCTACATATAAAACTGAAGAAAATAAGACCCTGAGTTTAGCTGTAGTAAAATTAATGTAAAAAATGAATATGGTTGCTTGAAGTACCTGTAATGTTATTTAATGTTAATAAATGGAACAATATAAGTAGCTAACCATTAATGGTAAAAAAAAAAGTGAGACTGCTCGTATGTAAGTGCGCACATGTGAAAATATATCGTCATTACTCTACATAAGAATATGAAAGCAACACTTATTTACTGCTCATATATATTGAAGGGTTAAATGTTGTACTCTGTATAGACAAGCAGAGAGAGAGAGCAGCCGAACTGCCGGATGTAAACAAACCTTAATTTCCCGCGGCTTTTTTTTTGTAAGGGGATTAGCCCACCCGGGCATAGGTCACTGACCCACATTGGGGCCTGAGGGGCAAAAATTTAATACTCCTGTAATAATAATAATAATTCAGATAAGTAAAAAGAAAAAAAAAAAGCTGCCTATCTACCTATTGGACAAACTAAAATCGTTCCGGACCACGGGAGTTTCCGGACCACAGAATGCCGGACTAGAGAGGTACAACCTGTAGTACATTTGATAGAAATCTGAGCTGAAATGCAAGGTACAGTAATAGGTTGAAGCATTTTTTGGGGACAGTAAGACTTTTTATTTGTAAAGTGAAAAGTAACATATTTAAATGGTAAAATCAGACTATATTTCTGGTAAAATGTATAAAAAAAAACATTACCGCATCAAAAACTTATAGGCATAGCGTAATTTGCATTTTAAATACCGTATACTAAACGATTCATAATAATTATTTCCGAGTCATTAGTTAACACTTAATTATTGGGATTTGAGGTTTTGAAGTTATATCCTTAACCATCATATTGAAGAGTACCTTTCTATAAAATATGATCAAAATCTAAATTTTTACCATTTATGCTGAAGTGCAAGGTCGGGCTTTGGGGGTGAGGAATTTTTTTCATGAAAGTGAAGAGTTATGTGTTATATGGTAAAGTTGGTGTACTGTATAATCATAGTACAGTAGGCACTCATATTTGGACACCTATTTAGACTGTAAAAACCTCGCAAAATTCAAATCGTCCAAATTTAAATACAACTTCCTATGGAGAAAATTCATTTGAGTCTGGTACTTTTGATGTTTGGCTAAATTTTGCCTTATTTACCCTACTTTTTTGGCAAATTACTACCTGTAACAAAGCAACATCCTAATAAACCAATGAAAATAACACAGATAAAATTAAATAAAAACTAAAAACAACACAGAAAAGTTTTCATGTTCTAAAGCTTCAGCTAGAGTTGAACCTGATGACTTGGCAACTTCGTCATCCGAGTAAAAACACACACACAACAACATTTACTGTCCTTATGTTTTCAACTTTACCACCACTTGTGGGTAGAATTTTTTTTTAAATTCAGAAACATTAAGTAAAATATATATGAACAGTAAATAAGTGTTGCTTTCATATTCTTATGTAGAGTAATGACGATATGTTTTCACATGTGCGCACTTACATACGCTCAGTCTCACTTTTTTCTTTATCATTAATGGTTAGTTACTTTTATTGTTCCATTTATTAACAGTAAACAACATTACTTAAAACATCCATATTATTTTTTTTCATTAATTTTACTACAGCTACAACCAGGGTCTTATTTTCTTCAGTTTTATATGCAGAACCAGCCAGTCACTGGTTTTATAAACATTAACGAAAACAATGCCGTCTCGTCTCCTGGTGTGTTTTAATATTCTACGTATTATTAATGAATTGTATTGTTCATTTTGCACACAAAACATTAATTCAATCAAAAAGACATTTAGTAATAAACAATAATGAATCTTTTGTACATAAGAAAAATGACACTGTTTACACAATTGTGCACGTCTGAACGTTGGCGGGCCACTCAAACCCGTCGAAATTTGAGTTTCTGTTGTTGAAATTTGAAATTGTGTAGTTTTTTTTTTTTCCAAATAAAAAACGTTGAATTAAAACCTCGCAAAATTTGAGAACCTTTCTGTAAGGCGTTTAAAAACTTTGTGTGAAAATTACATGTTTTGCGTACTATAACTGCCATTTTAAATATGTTCTGTACAGTAAAGTACAGTACAGTGCTCTGTGCTTACTTTCACTTTTTAGTTATTATATATCTTTGTGTTCTCGCCTTTTTCAGAGGTTTGGCTGTGCTCTCATCGACAATGGACAGATCAACCTCAAGGCTCGCGATTTTGCCACAGACTTTCGGCCCATTGATGAAAAGTGTGACTGTGAGACTTGCAAGAATTACACCCGTGCATACCTTCACACTATTGTCACTAAGGAGACGGTTGCCTGCCATCTTTTATCAATGCACAACATAGCATATCAGGTAAGTTTTTGTTATTATTACCTGTAGTGTGTGATAGATGAGGGAAGGGTGTAATTGACAAGTTTGGCTTCCACATTCAAACTTGCCTAACCCAGAGTTCTGTACTGCTCTCACTTTCTACTGTAATACAAAATACAATGTCAAGCTAGTCATGTAATCAATGACCAGTCCTCCTCTCCTCCTGTTCTACTTTTTCGTATCAGATGATCTGTCAGATAATTGTTTTCCTTTGTTCTACTGTATTAAATGTCTGTGTCAATAAAATGAGAGTGTATCACCTGAAAATTTGCCCCCTGGCTTACTGCCCCAGAAGATTAACTAAACAAATGGCAACCTAATGCCCTAGGTAGTGTTAGGTACATAGTTAATCTTCAGGTAAAATAATCTGGAGGGGGGAAAGGTCCGGGTACCAATCAATCTGAATGTTAAGAGTGTCCACTGTACATTAGTTCTTTCAGTGGTTTATTGTTCTGGTGCGACTTAATATTTTTTACTACAGATGAGGTTGATGAAGAATATTCGGGAGAGCATCAAGGAAGATCGTTTTGTTGACTTTGTTCAAGACTTCATGGCTTGTTACTACAAGGATCAGAGCTATCCACAATGGGTCATAGATGCCTTAGCTGCTGTCAACATTATACTGAAAAAATGAGTAGCTACTGTACTTATCTTTTATTCAGATTAATTGTAATACTGTATACATGAAATAATTTCCTTGCATGCTAGAGGCAAAGTTTAATGATATATGGAACTGTTATATTTTGAACTGTTCTTTGGATCTCTTGCATTTAAAGTTACAATGTTTACGAGTTCCAGCGTGAAAGAGAAGACTTCTGATATTTGGGACGACCAAGAGGATAGTGATGAGAAAATGGAGCACCTGCGTTCAGATTTTGGGAAACTCTACCTTACAGGTTATAGAAATGCTATCTTAGAAGACTTTGAAGAAGAGGAAGCTTCAGGAAGACTGGAAGGTTTTAAGAGAGGTTTTCAATCCCAGGCTGAAGTGAATCCCACAGTTATATTGTCTAGGTTGGATGGTTTACTACTTGGTTGTTTAGTGAAGTGCAAGAGCAGTCTAAGTGATGACCAGAGAACAGAAATTAATCTAATACAGAGAGAGATAAAGCAGTTACTTGCTTTTTATTTTGAACCAAGTAAAGCCATTCTTGTTAAAGTTTTGCAAGTTAATACAAACAGTGAAACAGTACACGAGAGTTGTTCAGAGAGTATGCCGAGTGATGACCCCACATCAAGAAAAAGTGACTGTAACTTAACACAAGGAAACATGACAGAAACATGTCTAAAGGGTATACTGGCTAGAACCAGAACCTTTTGTGATAGTGTAGGATGGAAGGTTCCTGACTTTGTTATGGATAATTAGCCCTAAATTGTCTCAACAGGATTCAAACACTTTTATCTATGCCAGTGGAGATGACCAAAATGATTGTACAAGCTGGAAGAATAAACTGATTATTTATTGTGTAATATAAAACAAAATTATATTGTCTGTGATTATATAAATAATAATGTTTTGGTTTTAATGCTTGTGTTATTTGAATTTCCCACCATAGCAGAATGTATTAAGTGTATTGCAGTAAGTTTTTCTTGTGAATTTTGATCAGAAGCAGATCTGAAATTTTATGTGGATTGCTTATCATATTCTTGAAGACTCAAACTGTTTACTGATGAAGAACCTGTCATGTCTTACCTGAAGCTCCAAGAGAGAGTCCCACTACCTGTATCTCTTATCAATATAATGACTGGTCAATATCAGGGTGTGTTATGGTACATGTTTCTTAGAATGTGTGTACTGGTACATGTCTACTATTAGAATGTGTGTATGGTACATGTGTATTAGAGTGTGTGTGTACTGGGGTGGGTGGGTTTAACAAAAGCTTTCATTACTAAAAGGAGAAGGAACATGAATTGAACATACAAATTCTAGTTTATAGTTGATGGCAGGGTTTGGTCTCTTGCCCTGCTGTGTGAGGTCACGTAGGACCTCAGTTGGTCTTGCAGTAACTCGTCCACAGGTGTTGACATGAAGGACCTCACATGGTCTAGCAATAACTCGTTCACAGGTGTTGACAGGAAGGACCTCACGTGATGTTGCAGTAATTCATCCACAGGTGTTGACATGAAGAACTTCACATGGTGCAGCAGTAACTTGTTTACAGGTGTTGACCTCACATGGTGTTGCAGTAACTCGTTTCACAGGCATTGACATGAAGGACCTCACGTAGTGTTGCAGTAACTTGTCCACAGGTATTGACATGAAGAACCTCACGTGGTGCTGTAGTAACTCATTCACATAGGTTCTCATTAGGGACTTCACATGACGTCACAGCAACTCGGTCATTGCATCGCAGTGTCATGGAGACACTGTGTGGTTGTAGTGTCACAGTACGATATACTGTGTGCTGTCACAGAGTACTGTACCTCACTCTGCCAAGTGTTGTTGTGGTATCTTCAGTGGCGGCTCGTGAAAAATAAAATGGAGGGACTGCAAGCCTCACACAACAGTAGGATACACAAATTTGACCTACCTCAGGTATGAGTTGTAGTTGATGTCCACGAATTCCCAGGGCATGGTAGTAGTGTTGGTGGTAGAAGGGATGGCCGAGGTGGTGATGGACCAGTATTAATTGAAAATAAAGTCCGCGCGTCTGCTCTTTGATGTAGCAAAATTGTTTATTACTATTTCATTAAAATCCTTTATTTCTGTTATCATTTTATTTTCAATGGATATTACTGCTAAAGCAGACAGTCTGTCATTCACCATGGTACTGCACAAAAAAGTTTTAATTCTCTTCAAAGTTGAAAAGCACCTTTCTGCTTCTGCCGTTGTCATTGGAGTTGTTATTAAAATTTTCAGCAACTTGACAGTGTCTGAAAATGTTGACTGTAGATTATTGTCATTCATCATCTCCAACAAGTCTATGAGACTTTCTGATTTACACAAATCTTCTCTTGTGTACAGTACAGCAAGTTCAGTTCTCAATTTGTCACAACCACAGAGCCATTCACATTTCTGATAAACACTGATGTTAAACTGGCGTGTATATTCTTTGTTCCTGCTTGTACTGTTCTGTTGAATGGATAAAACTGGTGTAGGTCTTCCTCTTGCTTTGATTTCAGTCTTTTCATTTAATGTCAGCTGGGAAAAGTTGATGTTTTGCAAATACTTCACTCGATTTTCCATCGTCAAAGGGCAATTAAAGAAAGCACGATTTAACCACACCGTCCACACACAATGTAAACACGTTGTACGAGACTGAGCTGCTTCAAGTGCAGCTCATTGTCTCCAGAAGTGGTGCGGCGGCAGAGCCAATTAATAACAGACATGAATCGTACAGCATTGACAGCAACTATGAAAGTAACTTAAATTTTGGTCTGATTTTAATGAAAATTCACTTAGCAACGTAATGAAAATAATTAAATAACATATAAAATGATATATTTGTTGGTAGTGTATTATTCAGCTGTCTCTCTAAAGGAATCATACGCCTGGCAGTGAGTGTCTGGGGGGACTGCAGCTCTGCAGCCCTATGCACGAGCTGCCACTGGGTATCTTGTAGTCAGGTGTAAAGCCAACCCATTGTTCCCAGAATGGACTGAGTACCACTGTACTGCCGGGTCAGAATATGGTGGTTGGATCCAAGGGGCAGTTATCTCTGGGTGTTAGGACCTCATTAGTAGGTGTGAAGGTTAACTTGGCCAAGACTCTTGGCTGCTACTGTTTAGTGTTGATTTTACTGGCCTAAACACTTGATTCCACTCCTTTAGCAAATGAAAATATCACTTTTGGCTTGATTTTACCAATATCTAAGCTGTGGGGAGGAAGTTGGGGTATGGGCCAACAATTGGCCTTGACTGCTACTGGAGCAGTTCCAAATAGGTCTATTAGACCCTCTAATGGTCAGGACACAAGTACTGTACATGTGTATTAGAGTGTGTGTTCTGGTACATGTGTATCATCAGTGTGTGTGTAAGCACTGGTATTAAATGTTCACCACAACATTCAAGGTTGCCAGGTGAAACACTGGTAACAAATATTTTGCAGAGAACACGAACTTGATGAACAAATTCAGAGATGTAAACTCATCTTGTGACATCATGCAACGTGGTGAGGGATGTCGCTAAAATTGTGATTCTTTTATGTTCTTTTATTTCCCATTCCATGCTCCTGTGGGAGTGGAGGTGGTGACCAGCGAGGTGGCACCCCCGTCGGCACCACCTTGCCACACTGGCCACACCTGGTACCATTTCTGCTGTCAGATGAGAATGTTTCAAGATTAGAAGAGTGGCTACTCCAGCATTTCTTATCCACCACCTTCACCACCAGGTCCCCTCTCCCTGTCATAGCCGGTGACCCCCATCACATCCACCTGGCTCCTAGCGCCCGACCATATGCCTGTCACAGTGTCACACCCCGGTGTCTGTGCCCAGGAACTGGGAGGCGGAGGTCAAGGATCAGCTGGATTAAAATGTCAGGAGAGGCGTCATCCAACCTGTACCAGCTGGGGAGGCTAGTGAGTGGTGTGCTAGGATGGTGGTGGTGGCCAAGAATTCTGGCCACTCTATACATACTGTGGATTACCAGCGCCTCAATGCTTGCTGTATCCGGGAAACCCACCACACACCTGCCTCCTTCGATATGGTGTCCGGAGTTCAACTACACTCCTCCAAAACCGTCGCTGATGCTTACTGGGGCTTTCACCAGGTGGACCACTGTTCTGCATCTGATGCATACACACGCAGATTTGATGATGCTATCCAGGATGTATCCAGGAAATACAAGTGCGTCGATGACACCCAACTGTACGACTCCAGTGTGGAGGGGGCATTTTGGCATACTAACGACTTCTTGGTGACGTGCACACTTAAAGGAATATCCCTCAAGCATGAGAAATTCCAGTTTGGAAGGAAAGAGGTTGAATTTGTGGGGTTTCACCTCGGTTGGGACTCCTACAAACCCACCAACGACTGCCTATCTGCCATTAAGAAGTTCCTCATGCGTGCCCAGCCCACTATCATGGACATCAGGTCATGGCACGGCTTTGTAAACGAGCTAGCCCCATTTCTTGCCACAGCTCCCCTCATGAAACCCACCAAGGAGATCCTCAAGAAGTCTCCTGGGAAAAAAGTGTACTGGGATGACTAGCTGCAGGCCAGGTTCCGTCAGGCACAGGACACCATCTGCCAAATGGTCAGAAATGGTAGGTCAACGACTCGCAGGTGCTTCCTGTTTCTGACTGACAGGCGCCCACTCCCGTCTAACTTTAGTGTGTACTGGCGATGTGATAACTTTTACTTTTACTTTTATCCTCTTCGCCACTGATCGGCTCGTTAGCCGCTTGGGCGATCGGTCACGTCTCTGTTACTTTTCCTTTTATTTTATCCTCTTCACCAAATAATTGGCTCGTTAGCCACTTGGGCGATCGGTTACGTCTCTGGTACGCACTGTTGGCAAGTACTGGGCATGCACCGGCTCCTGATGTACCTGAACCTGCTCCAGTGTTGGTCAAGTCTGGTTTTGAAAGAGCTCACACTCGGTGCCATCGCAACACTTTCTGGTAGATCTTTCCAAAAGTTCACAATTCTCACTCCGAAAAAGTTTGCCCTCACAGTTTTCTGGACTTGCGGCTTCCTCAATCTTGAGTTGTAACCCCTTGTGGGGCGAGCGTCCGCCAGCTCCAAGTAAGGACACCCGACTGAGTAGTGCCCAACCCTGTGCTTCCAGGAATACAAGGAGACCAGTACACATGAACCATGCGGCGGTCGGCAAAGTTAAAAAGAAAACTCAAAATTTCGAGACGAGGGTTAGGACAAATAAATGATGAGCAAGACAGAAGGATGTATGCCAGATCCAGGAACCAAGCAAAGTCAGAGTGTAGAAGGGCTGAAAAAGGTCCAGAGGCAGATTGCGAGCAAGATCAAGTCAAAC